CTTTCAGCAATTTGAATATATAGTATTCCTTCTGACATGTAGGGTTCTGCTGAAAATCAGCTCATAGCCTTGTTATAGGAGTTCCCTTGTACATAACTAGTTGTTTTTATCTTGCTACTTTTAAGATTTCCTCTTTACCTGTTGACATTTTTATTATAATGTGTCTTGCTATGGGACTCTGGGTTTATCTTATTTGGGATTCTCCGTTTCCTGGAGTTGGATCTCTTCCTTCAGCAGGTTGGGGAAGTTTTTAGCCATTATTTGTTCAAATAGGTGTCTTTCCCTTTCTCTCTTCTCTTTGTGGGACCCCTTAAACTACCATTTTTTTCTTTTTGCTGTTCTGAGTGTTCTGTCTTCCAGATTGATGAGCCATTCTTCATCATCTGATTTGCTGTTGATTCCCTGTAGTGTATTTTTCATTTCAATTATTGTTTCTCAGCTCTGATTTTTTTTGTTATTGTTGTTATCTCAGTGTTGAAGTTCTCACTGATTTCATCTTTTCTCCAGAGTTTGGTGAGCATCTTTATTACCCTTACTTGGAACTCTTATCTGTTAGATTACCTATCTCCATCTTGCTTGTTTTTTCCCTGAGGTTTTGTCTTTTTCTTTCATTTGGAAAATATTCTTCTTGTAATTAATCTTGCTGCTTCATTTTGCCTGTCTATTTGTTTCCATGTATTTAGGTAGATCAGTTATGTCTCCCAGTCTTGTAGGAGTGGCTTTGTGCAGGTGTCCTACAGGGCCCAGTAGTGTAAACCTCCATGGTCACCCAAGCCAGATGCTGCAGGGGTACCCCTTCTGTGGGCTACATGCACCCTCCTATTGTGGCTAGGCCATGATTGTTGTGAACTCACTAGTATGCAGGGTGTCGCCCCACATGACTGTCTTTGAGCATGCTGGCAAGCAGGCCTGGCCCTGTAGCCCTCTGGCTGTGAAACCTGTGCAACAGTTGCGGGCACACTGGTTGGCAGGGCAGGTCTCCACTGTGGCTGGCTCCAAGATGTAGCTATGACTGTTGTAGGCTGTAGTGTGTGGGGCTGCCCCCTATTGCAGGGGCTGCCTTGTTTGGGGTCAGGGGGTACTTGTATCTGCCAAGGCTGCTTGCCAGATGTGATGTGGCTACAGACTGCTGGGAAGGGGGGACAGGTAGTTAGTGCTTGGCAGGTGGGTTGGGTGGGGCAAGTTTACAGGAGAACACCAGGACAGAGTGAGCTGGTGTCAGCACAATAGATGGAGAGTGTTAGAAATGGTGCCTACCAGTAACTTCTTTCTCCAGAGAACATTCTAACTGTTCTGTCCAGCACACACCCTAAAATTGGTTAATGGATCTCCTTCACATGTGCCACAGGCACTTTTCAAAGTGCTACCTCTGCACAGGGATTCAAAGCAAGTGAGATTACACACACGCTTTAAGAGCATCCTTTGGTGTCCACTGCCCTCTGGCTCTCCCAGACGTAAGCCATGGGTTTTTCAGAACCAGGCATTACAGGAGCTCACCTTCCCAGTGCAGGTCTCCCATGCTGAGGGACTCAATGTGGGGCACAGACCCCTCATTCCTCGGGGAGGCCCCACAGTTGGGGTATTTCTCCTGCTTGTTGCCTCACTAGGGGTGGGTCCTGACTAGACCATGTCTGCACCCCTCCTACCCATCCCAGTGTGGCTTTTTCTTTATATCCTTAGCTGTGTAAGATCTGTTCTGCTAGTCTTCAGTTTGTTCTCAGAGATAGTTACTGTATATGTAGTTGTAGATTTTGGTGTGTCAGTGGGAGGAGGTAAGCTCAGAATCTTCCTTCTCTGCCACCTTGATCCCCTCTCGGGCCCAAGGTCCTATGTTAGACACTTTAGACCTTGAATTCTATCCCTTTGCTTTTGTGACAGTCTTTCCTGATTTTCTTCCTGACTTTCTGACCACAACTTCCCATCTCATTGTCCAGTACTCTGCCTGTCCCTTCAGTGCTGGTATTCTGGGTTCCATCCTGAGCTCCCTCTTTTTCCACTCCACAGCACCCACTGTAACGTTGATAAAGCCTAAACCTATATCTTCACCACCCCTACCCCTACCCCTACCCCTAGTGTCAACCCACTTGCTTGTGATTACCTCCTATTCCAGGGATTTCTTAGGACCGTGTCGCTTTCAAACTTCATTCCTGGAAGCCCCAGATTTCTTTAAAGGTGCCTGTGAGAAAAGCCATAGTCAAAGCTTAGACAGTCTTATAGCCAGACTACCCCCTAGGGCAGCTTCATTTTACCTGTTAATATGTATATTGGAGCTACACTTAAGAGTTAGGGGTCGGGGAGGAAGTTCCATTAGAAAAGTTTGGAAAGCATTGGTCCGGAAAAGTGGTTTCTGTCACCTTTTTGTTCAAAGAAATAAACAGTATTCCTGGTCATTTGCTTAGAAAAGGTAATATTAGGTGTTTGTGATATCAGAGCAGAGGTCTGCACTTTGAAGGAGCTAAATCATATCTGCCTTTTATTTTGGGCCCTTGGGCATTAGTCACAGTATAGAAAAGACAGGAGTAAGAGAGACCCTTTCAGTAAGGACCTAAAAACCTTCATCTTTCTAGCTGTAGAACTGCTTTAATTTTGCTCCAGTCCTAGTTTGTGTTTTCCAGGTACAGTCCTTGCCCGCTGCCTGGTGTTTCCTCTCATCATAAAGGGCCAACGAGAGGCAGCCAAGATCCACAACCACTTACCAGAGATTCAGAAGTTTACCACTCGAATCAGAGAGGCCAAGTTGGCAGGAGACCATGCTGAGTGTGAGTCAATGGCAGAATGAGTGTGGGAGAGGAGCACATTGGCACTTTTCCTGACATTCTGCTGAGGGAAAGGAACAACCTAAATCAGGAGTTGCTACAGCTGGACAAGTTCTAAAGATTAACCTACTTATTGGACCTAATGCTTCCAGTGACTGGCCAGGGGCAGTTAGGAGTTTCATGGGCCTGGTGATGAGGATGGCCACCTTCATCAAACTATTAGCCCAACCATTAACTTCCCCTCACTTCACAGTTTACAGGGCCTCCTCAGAGATGACTTTTTACCAGAAAAAGCATGATGTTAAACTCTTTAGACCTCTCATTCTACCTCTGACTCAGGTGAGTGAAAACATCGCCCCTATTTTATCCTGAATCAATCATTACCTCCTGTGTGTGTCTCATGCCCTGGACCCCAAAAAAGCAGGTGGTGATATTATACATGGTTTTCAGTAATGGAATGATGAAAATGTCCTGTGTAATAGGCCCCGATCTTCATCTCCTTCTTTATTGCCTTGAGAGAAATGGCCAATCTTCCTGTGCCCAGCCTGCAGACTGGTGGCCTCTGGTGGTTCCAGGATCTCACGCTATCTGACCCCACCTACATATTACCACTGGTAGTCACTGCTTCAATGTGGTGTGTCCTTGAGGTAAGTGCAGGCTGGCCAAGTGCCAAACCTGCAAAATGGGGAGTAGGGTAAAGTAATTGTACAGAATCGTCATTCTTCACTTCCTGGAAAAATAGAGTTGGTAGATAAAAAAATGTGACCTAGATATATTTAAGTTAATATGGATTTACTACTCTTCATCTGCTTTTTTTGACAGTTAGGTGCTGAGACTGGTGTGCAAAGTTCTGACCTTCAGTGGATGAGAAATATTACCAGGTTGATGCCCCTGGTAGTCCTGCCCATAACTATCCATTTCCCCTCGGTAGGTAGTGGCTCAGAGGCTGGCTCCAAGTCCTTCCTCGCCCCACTGTCACAGAGCAAGCTGACCATGGTTCTTTCTTGTCCAGGCAGTGTTCATGTACTGGCTCTCCTCCAACATGTTTTCCCTGGGCCAGGTGGCTTGCCTGCGGATTCCAGCTGTACGCACAGTATTTAAAATCCCCCAGCGCATTGTGCATGACTCCAACAAGTTACTTCCACGGGAAGGCTTCTTAAAGAGCTTCAAAAGAGGTAAGGGCCTTTCCTCTGTGAAACAGGATCAGGCAAAAGTGGTCTAAAAACGGGTACAGGATTAGCTGTCTTACTCCTCTTGATCCAGGTTGGAAGAATGCCGAACTGGCACACCAGCTACAAGAGCGTGAGCGACGCATGCAGAATCACTTGGAGCTGGCAGCCAGGGGTAAATCCCCTTTTCAGGCTAAATTCTCTCACTTGTTTCTTTCTTGTCTCTGTTCATCAAGGTTTGTTTCTCTTTTCCCCAGGTCCCTTACGACAGACCTTTACCCACAACCCTCTTCTACAGAATGGAAAGAATCACCCTCCCAGTGCCTCTGACAGGAACAAGACCAAAGCAAAGCCCACGCTGCCCTGGCGTGACACACTCGGCTGATTGCATTCTCTGCTCACACTGGCAGGAATGGGCTCTTCAGACTCAGCCTCAGAGCAAGGTTTGACTGAGTCCTCGCCCCAGACCTAAAAACTGTGGAACATGGAGATGTTTTAAAAGTTGATTCCACTACAGACTCTTAGACCTAAGTGTGAAAGAGCACTGGAGAGCCAGGTAATCTTCCCAGCTACAGAGTTAGTAAACCTCTGTACTACATGCTGCTTCCTCATACTTATTCAACAGGGAAACGGAAACAGTGTGTGGGCTTCAGAAAACTGAAGAATGGATTGGGTTGGGGGGGGGGGGGGGGGGGGGTGTCCTGTTATTTGCCTGTGCTCTCAGGAAGTGTCTCAGTGTTGCCACCTGACATTAACAGCTTAGACCTCCATCCCACAGATGGGTTGTTCCATCCACCTTTGCATTGCAGTCATGGAGGCATGCCCAGTAGATTGAGACTATATCTAAATAAAATCTAAATAAAATCATCACATTTACTTACCCCAAGATTACCTATAAAACATCAAACATTTTTCATGTAACAAATTTTGCTACAGCATCTTAGGTGTTCTCTTGTATTGGCTGCATCAGCCTTCAGCAACTTGGGTACTTTCAGCATAAGATTGTTTTTATTCTTCCTTCCAGGCTAGTGGGAGTTGCCCCAAAGACACCAAATAAAATGAAACCACTCAAAGCTTAGGAATATAACCTTTTTATTGTCTAGCACCTATGACATTTCATGTCTCTAAAGGAGACAGGAAGTTTGGAGCATTATTGGCCCTTCTAAAGTAAAAGAGTAGCTAGGCACACCCAGAGGTGAGGGAATATATTAACACATGGGAATGTGCTACTAGAACCAAGCCCACACCTGACATGGTCCCCACTGTAGTTTGCTTTATTTATTGTCCTTTCAAAAAAAATCTGAAATAGTATGTAGCAAAACAAATAAATTACTTTCCATCTCCCTAAAAGCAGGTTCAGAAGCTGTTGAAGCTGTCTAGACCAAGATTCTGGACAGGTGCCTCCAAACAAATGACCTTTCCTTTTCAGTATCCATGGCTCCAGCCAGTAGGAGACAGGAGGCCCTTGCTTTTCCACATCTCAGACTCTAGGTAGTATTTAGTTAGACTTGGGATCTTGTTGCTTGGGCATCTCTCCTCCATTTTCCAAGTCCATCTCTGCAGCGACTGACATACACAGGACCTGGAGGTACCTTGTGGTGGTTGCTGCAATGAGAAGTTTGAGTCAAAACTGAGAAGAGGTCAGCTGGGCTGAGTTCAGGTGGCACTAAATGGGACTGGGCCCGAGAGGACAATTAAGGGAAGCATTAGAGTTAACAACACGAGAGCAATGGCAAAGGTGACTTAGGAGACAAGATTTGCAGGAAAGGCAACAAAAACACACTGTACAGTAGCTGAGCTGACTTGAGGATCCAAGGCTTACCCACAATCCTTCGGAGGCAGTGAGGTCGTTTGTGCTCTGGCACTCTGATGATGAGGAAGTAGAAAGGCAGGCCTGAGAGGGCAATGCCAATGCCAATGAGGGAGTTGATGGTGTCACTGTAAAGTGGAACAACCACCAGGAAGATGGTGCAGAGGCAGAAGACAATCGGGAAGAAAAGGCTGAGCTAAGGGCATAGAGGAAACAACTGGAGGTTAGACAGCTCAAGACTGACAGCTAACACCACCCCACCTCCTGGGCAGATCGAAGCACTGAGTCGTCTTTCTACTCCCTCATCTCAACACACAACCACCAAGTCCTAAGCAAAGGTAGTTTCTAAATAAACAGTCTTCGAAGAATCCTGTACAACAAAAGGTAGGATAGAGGTGAGTTACCTTGAGGGGACGAGGCCTATCAGGCTCCTTCCAGCGTAGATAGAGCTGACCCACAATAGAGAGCCCCACAAAGAACCAGTAGCTGAAGCTGTAGTAGTTAATGAGCTGGAAGATGTCCTCCACACACAAGTAGATCAGTGCCATGATGCCCTGTGGGCACAAGTCCAAGTCAGCTCCTCTCACAGTCTCTGCTATTCAAGGCACTTATTACTCTGCTTTACCTCCCACAAATCCATCCCCTTCAAGTCCTCGGGTCCCCCCCATCTGTCCTTTTCTGTTACTGTCCCCTTCACCTTAGTTTCAGTGCCTCTGTCCTCTAGCAGAAGCCTGCCCATCCACTGGTTGTTTAACCCATTCTGCAAACCTCCGCCAAGTAAACCCTCTATAAAGCACAGCTCAAAACAGTTCTTCAAAAATCTTTTGTTCAAGTGCCTCCATAATGGCTCCAACTTAACATTTTCCAGCTTTTATCTCCTACTACCCAACTCCACAGAGCTTTACCTCAGGATGCTGATGCTATTTCTCTTAACCTAAAGCTCACCTCTACCATTTGCAACCTAAGAGGTCCATTTAAAAATCCACTTCAGATGCACTTTCTCCAAGAATTGTTTCCTCATTTATCCTCCACACCCCATGGAAGTGAACATTTCGTCTGTTAAAACACATCACTGTCTGTCACAGCTGACAAATCATATTTCATTACAGTGTATCCCTGTACTTTATGCTTTATCCTGGACCAGAGGAGGTTGCCATTCCTTAGAGAAGATAGTCTCTCTTAAGAAGCACAGCAGCAGTTTGCACATTATCTGGCTCCTGGTGGATGTTCCATTAATAGTTTTTCTGTTTAGAGTTACCTTTAGAGATTTTGGGAAGCTAAGGCAGTTGTATCTACCATGAACAAAGCCCCACCCTGACTCCCAATCTGGCTTTCAGCCCCATCCTTGGGATCACTTACATTGAAGAGCAGAGCAGGTACCGGTGTGAACCGCTCCACATGAACCATGCAGATGGCATCGGGCAGATGGCCTTCTCTTGAGCCCACAAAGAAAAGCCTGTTTGGGGTGAAATAGAGGCTGAAAAACTGGTGGCACACTAATGTGGCCACATTGCCCTCCCTCTGCCTGCCTGCCTTCTAAAGAACTTGAATAATATGGAGTTCAACATTGAGATTGGAATCTGAGGCTGATGATGGGTCTAAAAGCAAAAACGTTAATACCATTTAGGGAGTACAGTGACTAGAGTCCAGGTCCTGTAAGCTTTCCCCTCCCCTACCAGAGTTCCTCACAAAATCCTCAGTAAAAGATGCCACGCATACCTAGATGCAGCTACAATGGAAGCATTGAGGCCACCAAAGCAGGATGATGCAACTGCTAGTGGAATTGTCCAGTTGAATATTCCAAAAATCTGGTCTGCAAAAGTCTAAGGGAAAAAGGAACAGAAGAGGCATTAGCAGAACCTAAAGCAGATTAAAGGTGCGGATAAGCATACCTCCAGATTCCCCTACTAACAGCCCAGGAGGGTAACAGGATCTTCTTGCAAGCCCAGTATCCTAAGCAAACTCCTTTCAAGGACTACCTCCTTTCTGGGACTTTGAAAAGCTGCAATAAACCCAGAAGCCCACAAACACACCCTCAGCCTTCTAGGGAAAATCCTTTACCACAGCAACGGCATCACTGGCTAGGATGTCCCTCATGTCTAGCACGGTGTAATAGGCCACGTTGGTCAGGATGTAGATGATGGTGACAATAGGCATGGAAATGCCAATGGAGAGGGGCAGATTCCTACAGCCAAATAGAGTAAGACACATTAGAGTTGCATCCTCACTCCTTTACTCCTCACACTCTGCCACACTAATCCAGGGATGGGGCCTCCTGCAGCACTTGCCCAGCGTTTTTGTCTTTGAAGTTGCCTAGGATGATGCCTTGGCCCCGAACTCTTAAGCGCTAATAAAGGAAAGCAGGTGCTAAGCCAAAAAAAAAGGATGAATAAAAAACTCATGGCACAAAAATAGCACAGGAGGATGGGTGGGTTTTTGGTTTTGTGTTTTTTACAATGAAAGGACTCAGTATCAGGATTTCTTATCTAAGACTGTCAACATTGGGAAATTTGTCTTAAGGTGGAAAAATAGAAGTTACGGTATGGGAGAATATATTTGCAAATGATAAATCTGATAAGTGGCTAATACTCAAAATACATAAAGACAATGTAATTCACCAAAAATATACACAAATAATCTAATTAAAAATGGGCAGAGGACCTGAATAGACATTTTTCCAAAGACATACAGATGGCCAACAGACACATGAGAAGATCCATATCAATAATAATCAAGGAAATGCAAATCAAACGACAATGAGGTATTATCTCACAACAGTCAGAATGGCCACTAACCCGAACAAGAAATAAAGTATTGGCAAAGATGTGGAGAAAAGGGAACCCTCCTACACTGTTGGTGGGAATGTAAATTGATCTAGCCACTGTGGAAAACAATACAGAGGTTCCTCAAAAAACTAGAAATACCATATGACCCAGCAATTCCACGTCCAGGAATTTACCCGAAGAAAACAAAATCACTACCTCAAAAATACACATGCACACCTATAGTCACTGCAGCATTATTTACAATAGCAAAGATAACGGAAGCAACCATATGATTGTCTGCCCATGGATTGACAAATGGTTAAAGTGAGTGGCACATACACACAATGGAATATTGCTAGGCCATAAAAAAGGAAGTCTTGCCATTTGTGACAATGAATGGATCAAGACGGATTATGCTAAGTGAAATAGGCCAGGCAGAGAAAGACAAATACCATATGATTTCACTTACATATGGAACCCAGGAAACAAAAAAATAGGCCCATAAACACAGACAACAGCCTGATGGTCACCATAGGAAAGGATTTGGGAGGATGAGGGAATGAAGAGGTACAAACTGCAGAATTAGTCAAAGGAACAGAAATACAGCATACAGAATAAAACCAATAATACCATAATATCTTGATATGGTAATGGAACTATGCTTACTGTAGCAAGCATCTAGTAACATAATTACTGAGTTACTATGTTGTACATCTGAAACCAATATATATGAACTTTATTCCAATTTTTAAAAAGGAAAGGAAAAAACGAGGCAAATTGTGAAAGCTAACATCTCTAGAGAGTAAGATATGCCCTCAGGAAAAGCAGTATGTGTATCTAAATAAGCAACCTGGAAAATGTCTGTCTACCCCACCCCCTCAACTCAATTTGAAAACCGCGGGTGACCAAGGGAAAGGCACAAATACATCATCTCAAGGTCCCTCTAACCCAATACAGCCATGATCGTTTTTATAAACGTTCTTCACAGTGAGATTTGGCGGGGTCGGGGTTGCAGGTGCCAAGTACTCTTGAGTCATCCATTCAGCTTCTGCCCAGTAGATGGAAGCACCAGCCAGGCCTCAGCCCTGCTCCCAGAGCTGCAGTGCTGGATGAGTGCCAGGAGTACTCTTAAGAGCCAAAAGGGGATTGATTATTCTTTTGACTTAAAAATTTATAGAAACTCCACTCCCTAGCACATCGTAGTTTCCAGAATCACTGAATTTTGGAACCAGGGGGCTCTGAAGATCATATAATTCAACCCCCTCAATTACAGATAAGGGAAAAGAGCTGTCAGAGGACTCCAAGGTCACCCAACAAGTAAGTAGAGAGAGAGGTTCCAGGCCCTTTGACTCCCTGTCCAGTGCTCTTTTTCACTTGCATAACTACAGGCTAATTTAGGGTAACAATGGTGAGGTGATATTAAATGACTAAAGCATACCATTATGTCAGTATGAATTTGAGAGACAAGGGAGGAATCAGAAGACAAAATTTTCTGGGCATCTATGACCTAAAGTTATCGAGGTGGGGATAAGGTTGGGTGACATGCTATCAAGGAAAATCCATTTTAAAAAGCATATACAAGCACAATATAACCTGCAAGAATGAATGCACAAATGTGAAAAGGCCTTTAAAAAATGTTTTTAAACATAAGAAAGTTCACATTTCATCTCTGTTACCATGAATATGTACAAGTTACTTATCCAGGCATCAGGCCTCCTGTGTATTAAAATGGGTCTGAAACAGACCTCTGGTGCAGAATGCCATCTGGCACATAGTAGGAGCTCAATAAGTGAGCACTATCATCACTGCCATGGAAAGCTGATGGTGAGGTACCTACCTCTCAGGATTCTTGATCTCTTCAGTGACATAGTTGAGGGTGTCCCAGCCCGAATAGGAGAACAAAGCCGAGTACAGTGCCAGAGCAATGTCACCCACTGCGAATGATGAATCCTCAAAGGAATTCTCAAAGTGAGTCGAGGCTCCTGAACCCAGGCAACATGGAAAGGCAGAAGGATTAGTGGCCTGCCTCCCCACTTCAAGGTGATCCAGTAAAGGAGTGGGAGACTGACAAGAACAGCAGGTGAGTGGCTTGGAACACTTTTGGCAGCCAGGATACCAGTGAAGGAACGGGGAACAGAAGAGAGATATCCACAGTGATGGGCCAGAATGCAGGGGGGCAGCATGAGGATCTTGACAGAAAGGACCAAGGGTGGCTTTCTAGGGTAAGAAACCACCACAAAGCAAAAGGGCTAGAGAAAAGGAGTGATGTGGTTCTGTCCTGTCCTTCAAGCTGCCCAATTCCTGCCCATTGTCTAACCCCAAACAGCTAATACAGGGTAGAGGATGGGCAAGCCTCCATAAGGTTCATTTCTGCCCTGGCCAACTCCCAACAAGAAAACCATCAGCCACAGCATTGGGCTCAACAGTCTGCAAGAGCTGGCTCCCAGGCTGTCAGCCCTTTGGCCACGGTCAGCCGCCTCTGGGTGGCAGCATGCATAGAAATTAAAGGACAGGCATTGGCATCAGCCTTCCTGAGTACAAATTTCAGCTCCACTACTTACTAGGGATCTGGACAAGATACTTAAATCTTCAGCCTCAGTTTCCTCATCTATAAAATGGGAATAATAAGAGTTACTACCAAGCACAAAGGGACCTTAAAGAAGTGTGGCTCATAGAAAGTACTTAATAAATGTTAGTGGCTATTATTATTTCTTACCCTGGCCAAGTCTAACAATGCCTGCGATGATGACAGCGATCAGTGCCAATACTTTAGCATAGGTGAAAATATCTTGTACCAAGGTTCCCCACTTGACATAGGCACAGTTAATGAAGGTTAAGAGACCTGAAAGAAAAATAATACTGATTGGTGACTGACCCTACCATCCAGAGAGCCTTAGACTCCCAAGCACTTTTTCAGTACCAGTCACCAAAATAGACCCTCTGGCCAAAGACAGAAGTGCTTGGGCACTGACCTGCTCTCTACTGGAAACCTCTGCCCAGAATGTTCTATTATTCAGAGGCACTTGCTAAGCACCTGTGTACGTACCACACACACATACACAAACCACACACCCTTCAGCACAGGAGACAAAACAACTGGACTTGCTCATATTCAGAAGTGCTCACATCATGGGAGGCAATTGGTAGCTAGCTATACAGGATCAGTGATGTGTTACATCTATTGGCTCTGAAAAGTCACGGTTCTCCCCCATCTCCACCCCTGTTCCCCTCCAGGACCCACACTCGGACTCTGTGGTATTATTGTTAACCCTGCCCGTCCTGCAACTTTCCCAGTGTCTGAGCCAGCAGGTCAGGACATGTGGTCATGGAGTAGGATGGGGGCCAGACTTCCTGCTACTGCCTGCCAGCTCAGCTATTTGTTTTCATGCTCGAAAGATTCTTGGAGCCAAGGTTACTACAGAATAGGGGCAGCATTCTTCCTGACTGGACAATGCAAGAATAAGAGCCACAGATATTCCTCTATCCCCTCTACCCTGGGAGAGCGGCAGGCCCTTTCCCTGCATGAGCTTCAGTCAAATTCATGGCTCACCCTTTGAGTCAGGATTTTAACTTAAGGCTTCCACAAGGCCAGAGATTCTTTGTAAAATGTTATGTACATATGCCCAAAGCATATGTATTTTTCTAAGAAAAGGGTCCATAGCTTTTATCAGAATTTCTGAGAAATCCATTGCCCCCCAAAAAGTTACAATCCACTACTTCAGAAGAAATCCAAGAAGGGAAGCCCACACATGCTGTGAGGCTGACCAACAGCCCCAGGATGTGGCAGGGAAGAAAATCAAAAGAAACAATTCTGAAGCTCAGCAGAATGTTCCTCAATCCCCCACCAACCTTTTAGGCAGGCAGGCAGGCAGGCACACTCACCACACCTTCCCCACTGTGGCAGAGTGAATCGCCCCACTGCTCCCTCTGTCCCAGCTCAGCAGCTGGGGCACTGAAAGGAGGGTAAACAGAGCTTCTCCCAAGGGATCCGAGGGCAAGGTCAGAGTCAGCCTGCCTTACCAGCAGTGAAAGTGAGCCCAGGGCTGAGCTTGCCTGCCTCAAGCCATCAATGCAGGAAGTACTCCCTGCCTCAGCTCTGGCAGTGGAGTGTCCTCAGTGTCCCTAGTCCTTCTGTTTTGTTGTGTCCTGGCCTCATCACATGCTGGCCCAGAGGCAACTTCACCCAGAAAAGCAGGAATGACCAGCCTCTCCGAATAGTTGGCCATCTCTGTCTCTCCTCCTCCTTTACACCCCCCCTGTTCTACTTGCTGCCCAAGTTCTTTTCTACCCTTCTGGAGAAGGGGCATTCCTATCCTACACAAACACTTGCCTTCCTGCCTAATAAGACAATAAACAACCCAGCCTTATTACGGGGCTGGGCAAAAATGCACCAAGAATTCCAGGTCACACCAGTGTTAATAATTAAAGACACACGTGTACAGTCTCCACAGCCACAGGCAAAATGACCAAAGTGCCTGTATCTCACCCTCCACAAATCTCCTCCTCAGCCAGTCACTCATCCTTTACTCCCTGCTGGCCTGCCTCCAGCCATTCAACAGCCCTCCCACCCCCTTCTTCCCATCCTGTAACTGCTACCCCTTATCTCTGGGCTCTGCTGCTAGCTCACAAATACAACACAAGCCAGGCTTCTGACTCAAAACACCAGGGACAACTGATGCTTCCATCTTCATAGTTAATGGGATCCCCTAATTCAAACTGGTGGCTAGCCCTCAGGGGAGCCACAGGTCACAACACCAGCGGGGACAGGCTTAAGGGACCAGTGCTGATTCAGTCAGTCTGCAGCCATGTGCCACAAGGTTCTGTTCTCAGCTCTGTCCAAGGATGTGGGCAGAAAAAAGCCGACGTATCATCCTTTACTACAACAAATTCTGAAATGAAAACACATGGATTTTTTTCATTTTAATCCCTACCGTTTCTTGGCTCAAGTTCCATATCCATCCATTTGTGTCCCTCTTACCTGTATTCCCCACTCCCCCACTCAGCCTTATTTCTGACTTCTGACTTCTAACCCACCCCCTTGCCCTGATCCACTCTCTACTGAGCACGGTGGATTTGCATGAAGGGAATCCTATGGAAGGAAACCAGGGAGCAGAGGAACTGCCTGCAGACAGTCCTCACTTCCCCAGAGCCCAGCTTCCTCCAGGGACTCTGAGCCTGGAAACAGCAATGGGTACATCAGGCATTGTCCCCACCCACAGCGGATACAGCAGCCCTGAGGCCCCAGAGCCCAGCCAAGTTCTTGCAGTGGAACCCAACCTCCTGCTTCAGAGGCAGCGAAAGGAGGGGACAATGGGGTTAAGAAAATATGGACACGACTTCAAGTTACCCTCAAGGACAGAGAGACCCTACCCTCCTACCTCTAGGTGCAATTCAATCTCCACCCAACACTGGGCCAAGTCCACAGGAAGATGGTCTGAAATCACCTTGGACCCTTGACTCAGGTACAACTTCATTACTACTTTGACGTCCTGCTTTGAAGGAAGGAGAACCTGCAAAGAAGTCAGTCCTGTAACCACCTCAAGGGATGGACCTGAATGGTCATTAACCCAGCCTACATGGGTTCCCCAGAAGTAAGAAGCTAGTTTTGGCACTAAGTCCCAGCATCAGCTCCAGAACTAAAAGCAAGAAAAGCACCCGCCTCGGTTGATCTAGAACAGAAGCCCACTTGGGATGAGATGCCCAGATTTACTTTAATGTCCAAACTGAACAGTCCCTGAAAAAGAACATTAAGCCTACAATTCTCTTAGCACCATTAGTTTTAAATACATACAACATAACACACAAAACTTAGGTTGCTATTTAAGCCATTTTCTGCTTCAAATTCCCAGAGATTATAAAACCCCACATGTTTTATTAGATAATGCATACCATTTTTAAAGAGATCAATAGTCTTCTTTCCACTAAGCCAAAACCATCTTCCTCACAGCTTCCACCTGGTCGTCTTAGACTGCTCCTCTCAAGCTGCACAGAATCAAGCTAAATCCTCTTCCACACAACAGCCCTTCTTAGCATTAAACATTGTCCTTGAGTCTCTCCTCCTTCAGGCTAAAAACCCTGTTTCTTCAACCTCTTGTGTGACAAATACGGCTTCCAGACCACTCACCAACCCAGTTTTCTCCTGCACATTCACTTCACTTCATCAGTGTCTCCCTGGAAACCACATACGCACACAGAAAACTCCAGACATTACTATGGACTGTGGAGTCTTCTGTGTGAATTCACTTTCAGCTACAATTCCATTCCCCACCTCAAACTGATGAGCTTTTCCCTCTCCTACTTTTTCCCCTTAATTTTATCAGGTGGTTCAAAAGCCTTCAATTTTGTGAAATCTGCAAATTTGATCAGCATACCTCCTGGGTCTTCACAGAAGTAAATGATAAAAATGTTGACTCGACAGGCAGATCCCTGTGGCCTCTACAGGCCTTCCTCTATGCTGTCATTATCACACAACATCAACCAAGATTCCACCAAACTACTCTTTCACCTAGTCCATCTTTTTCTCCCTTGTCAAGAGTATCATGAGAATTTGCCAAGAACCTCTCTAAAAGCTGTATACACACCTCTGCTCTAGCAATCTAATGATGCCATCAAATGATCATTTCAAACAAAATTAGTACTTATTTATGCTAGAATGTTTAAGTTATATCATTGTACTACTCAAAAGTTAGAAAGAACCCAAGTGCCAATCAATGGTAGAGTAGCTAAATATAGCAGAACACTAAACAGCAGTGAGAATGAACTATCTACAACTACAGACAAAAAAAAATTGATGAACTTCACAAACATATTAACAAGCCAGACACAAAAGAGTACGTATTCTTTATATCCATTTACATATTAAAAAATCAAATAAAACTAACCTAGAAGTCAGAACAGTAATTTCTCTTCATGCAGAACAGTAAGATCCCAGAGATGGGAAAAAAAGATGGCAGTGTAGGAAGGCATGGCAAAAATCTCCTCCCAAAATCACATAGAACACAAAAACACAGCAAATCCAACTAGGCCTGAAATCAGCCAGAGGACTGCAGAGCTGACCCGCACATCTGGGGAAGAAGAGGGGGACTTACAGAAAAGGGTAAAGTGACAAGGCCGCAATCCACTGGAACCCAAGCCCTCCCCCAACCCTGGCCCACAAGGTGGAAGAGAACCGGAGCAGGGAGGGCATAGAAGCCCAGGGCCCTGAACACCTGACCCTGGAGATCTGCTCCAAGAATACGAGCCCACATTACACGGTGCCCTGGTGACTGGTGCGGCTAGACAACAGAGAAGGGCTGAACACCCAGGAGGCTGAGATCCCAGCTGCCTGTGGAGAACAGTAAGTTCCCTTCATGTGTGCATGGGTGGCATAGAGGAGTAACTGGGGAGATCACAAGAGAGGAGGTTCAGGGGTTGGTTTCTTGATGCAGATGCTGATTATACATATGTGTTTAATTTGTGAAAATTCAACAAGCTGTACACTTAGGATATGGGCACTGTTCCTTTTGTATATTATACCTGAATAAAAAATTAAAATTGAATAAAAAGTGAGGTTAGCTTAATAGCTTGTTTTTAGTGCATACATACAGATTTCTAGAGATCCTCCTTTCTGCTCCCCATACTTTACTAACCAGATATAACAGACAAGCCTAGAATTTGGGCAGTAATCAACTTCAAATTATCAGTGCATAATGCTCAGAATACACCTCTTTCTCCTTAGAAAGACAGGTTATCACTTATGCTAGGCTGAATTATGGCCCTGGAGGCATAAGAGTAGGTGCGAGAAATACCTGACAGACTACCTACCGCTGGCTCTGAAGATGGAAGGGGCCATGAGCCAAGGCACTGAGCAGTGTCCAGAAGCTGGAAAAGACAAGAACATGGATTCTCCCCTAAAGCCTCCAGAAAAGAACATAGCACTGCTAACACCTTGAATTTTAGAGTTTAACTCCCCAAGCAGATGCATTTCAGACTTCTGACCTCCAGAACTGTAAGATAACTAATCTGTATTGTTGTAAGTCACTAAGTTAATGGCAATTTGTTACAGCAGCAATAGGAAACTAATACATCACTTGGTAGCTTCCCTTTCACACCCTTCTTGTTCTCCAAGACCCTTGAGATGCCTGGTGGTGATTCTGTCATGTCAACTATTTTTCAGTTCTTTCCAATTGTCTGCAGGTAGGTAGTTAAAAACATTTAAATCAATGACATGCCTTATTACTCTCTTTTCAACTCTCTTGGTCTTGTACTGTTGGTCTGTTGGTTTTACTGAGTCCTTTCTAGGTTAGCAATCCTTCCACCAGGTAAAGTTAGGAGAAAAATGGAAGTGTGGTCTTCTCTGTTCCCTCTACCACCTATTGTCATGTAACTGCTCCGGGGCATCCCACATTGCCCTTGCTGCCTTCACTCTCAGCATTGCTCTCAGAACTTCTTACTGTCCTCAGTTGCTTCTTCAAGTGTTAGTTCAGGCTGGGCATCACCCTCAGGACACTCTGCTTGCACTTCTGCGCCATTCCTGTAGTTAGTCTCGGTTATGCCACCTTGAACCACCTCTTATGTATCTTGCTTCTAAAAATCTAAGTTTATCAAACAGCAATGTGTTCAGTCACACTGATTGCTTCAGATGATTCTCTTTTTCTTCCTAAATAAGAATTTTCACCTTTTTTATCAGAATTTCATTTTGGAAAATCTCCTGGTCTTTTTTTTTTTTTTAATTCCCGGCCACAAGATAGTTTCTTCCCCTGAACTTTTCTGCATTCTCTTTGTCAAAATTTAGAGTGCGTTTCTGAGAAAATCCAACATTTCTTTTCCTAGGAGGTACAAACTGAGCATAGTCACTTTCTCACAAGAATTCCACACTTCCTCTGATTATATTAAATAATGATGATGATGATAATTATTATAATAAATAAGTGGTTATATTAAATAAGATTATGATAATTATTATTATTATAAATAAATCTTTATCCTTAGAGATGCACTAAAGCCATTAAATGGTATGAGGTCTTGGATTTGCTTTAAATAACCCAATGGGGTGAGAGACGGGTATTGAAAATCACTCATGGTGGCGCTTGGACCCTGGGAGTTCATCGTATTATTCACTCTACTTTTGTATGTTTGAAGTTTTCCATAATAAGCCATCTTTTTAAAAATTTATAGAGGTACTGCTTCTAACGGAATGAAACTGATTTTAGCAAAAGATGCTCAGGGAGTTGAGGTTCCATTGTACCATATCTTCCCTTTTACACAAATTTTATCATCTTTATTAGGAAAGCAAAACATTTATTGTCCCTCTGATCTCATGGTATACAGTATATGCCCACAATTACATCATTCCTATTTCTTTTTATCTTCTTGTTCTCTTCACCATGCTTCTTCTCTTAGAATGGGGACTTATTTCCGTGAGTTATTACTATAGGAGACCTTCAGGAAAATTCCCTAACTGGAACTTGAGAGCCTCTTACAGCACCATGTAATAATTCATCTCCCCAAGATAAGCATATGGGATTAACAGAGGCCAGTGTCTTTGTACTATGAGAGATGGGCCCCATATCTGTAGGCCAGGAGAGAGGCAAGACCTCTGTTTAGCTTTAAGAAGAGACCCTTCTGCGGGCAGAGAACTGGAAGTAGTACAGAGGGGTACTGTTCACTACATTGCTGGGAAAGAAAGGAAAAGCAAGTAAAATCCTTTGACAGATCTCTATATCTTGGTGTGCTGAATCTCCCTCTCCCTGCAATCAAAAGAATCAAAGCATGACTTTGCCCCGGAGGGAGCAGGCATCCTTTATTATAGCAGATCCTCATACACGTACACCCCTCTTTGATACACTGTATCAATCTCAGCTCTTCTATGAAATCTATCACTTTTGAACAAGAGATAGTCTTTCATTGTCATATTCTAGTCAAATATGAAACTGTTTCCTCCTTGCAATAGGAGTAAAAAACAAATTTTCATTAGCCTTTTAATGTTTATAGATACAAGTCCAAAAGCATCATTCCCAATCTTCTATTTTCTCTAAATGCATTAATAAGCAACTTTTCCACCTCTATTCTCCTTTCTATGTAATACCTCACAACCTCCAAAATATCCAGATTTATACTTTAACGTGTGCATTTTTCTCCTTTCTTGTAAAAAATTTCCATGTAAAGTTTTAAACCCTTCCCAATCCCTATGAAATCTGCTCTCTCCCTTACCAGAGCCTATGCTTCTGGTTTTTTAGCACTTAGTCTAGTACTCTGTTCTGTGTTCTTTTTTCTTTCACATACACAGCCTTCACTTGACAGAGATTTATCACCTGCCTCCTCAGATGATACATCTCAGGTATCTTTTGACAGCTGATGTCATTCATCCCATAGTAACCAGCAGAAGGATAGTGGTCTGTGAACTTAATAGTGTGAGCCAGCTCTTATGTTGCTCAAGAAAACTGCACAGCTCTGCATTAGGCTGGTCTCCGTAAAGTCAGTCATACCAGAACCCCTTCTGGTACGCTCAAGCTGGCTAATTCCCAGGTGTCATCAGAATACTCTACCGCAGAAGGACCAGATAAAAGTTTTCTGAAAAAACCTCAGCTATGTTGCATAAACCCAGAAATGTCAAGTCTTTCCTCCTTTTCTCTGCTGTATCTCCATTTGTTTTGTGTGTGTTATTTAATGCTGGCTTAGGATAGTCTCTACACCTTAAAAATCATTTTTGTTTCCTCACTTCCTTGAGGTATTCTTTCCATCCTTCCTTGTTGCTGTTCTCTCTCTCAGATAGCAGGGTCCTCAAACTCTTTTACCTTTTCAGGCTACAGAACCATGTTGCTTACTCAGGCATCATGGCTGACAACATCTGGCAAGAAGACATCCCGAGCGTAAACCCTATGGGTCACTGGACCAGATTCCTCCTACTCTGCCTCCTGGAATTCAGTCAGCACTGTAGTCACCATGGCTCTACACCACTCTGGGGCAGCAGGTGGACAGTTTGTACCAGGGGGCTCTCATGTTAAATGGCTCCATCTGCTCTCTTCCCAAAGCCAGCAAGGCCTGGTTAATCAGCTCCTTCCTGGTTTGCTCAGCCAGGTCCAGTTCAGATCCTTGGAAACAGGCCCCCAAGCCTGAGTGAGCATCAAAATTACCTGAGGAATGTTTACCTACAGCTCTGAGGCTCCACCCCAGGAGTTCTGCTGCAGAGGCTGAGAGAGGGTTTCCCAGGGGAGCCTGATGCTCTGCCCACCTTGGGTATGCTACCTTAGCAGTCACTACAGGAGATGATCACATACAGAACAACCTAGATCAGAACAAGCCCAACCCCTTCCCTTAGCTCAACACTCCTCTATCCTAGCTACACATCGGTGTCACTTGACAAGGTTTAACAAAGTCCAGGGCTCCAGCCCCACCTGGGCCAATAAGTCAGAAAGTCTGGAGTGGAGTACAGGCATTGCAGTGTTGTTGTGTGTTTTTGTTTTGTTTTGTTTTTTTAATTAAGGTATCATTAATATACACCCTTATGAAGGTTTCACATGAAAAACATTGTGGGTACTACATTCACCCATATCATCAAGTCCCCCACAATACCCCATTGCAGTCACTGTCCGTCAGTGTAGTAAGATGCCACAGAGTCACTACTTGTCTTCTCTGTGCTACACTGTCTTCCCCAGGATCCCTCCCATACCATGTGTACTAATCATAATGCCCCTCAATCCCCTTCTCCCTCCCTCCCCTCCCCTTTGGTAACCACTAGTCCCTTCTTGGAGTCTGTGAGTCTGCCACTGCAGTATTTTTAAAGTTCCCCACATGAGTCTAAAACATGATGATGACAATTGAGAACACCTCTTCCCAAGGGCCCTGTCACTTCTCAGCAACAACTTTTCTGCTTCCTCAATGCTCATTCTCCAAGCCAATTCCCATTCTTCTAACCAATAGTTCATATTTATTAGCTTGGGGGAGCAAGGACAGAGAGGAAGGGGCCATGAGTTTTGTTTTATTTTAACCCCTGGGTGATTCCAATGTACAGCCAGGGTTGGAACCCACTGTCCCTAGCTCTTCCCCAACCACTTCTAGGCTATTCTCTCAGCCTCTTCTGAGGCTAATAGAACAGGAAAAGGAAGAAACTAAGGGTAAACCCCTAAAGAGCCTTGAGGATCAAGCCAGCACAGAGCTCTACCCCCATCTCTGCTGGTGAAGTTTCTTCCAAAGTTCACAGTGAGCCCACATCAGAAAGAACCGAAGGCTCTGACTTCAGCCTGTTCACTGCTGTGAATGTGGGATGTGAAATGTAAGCTTCCTCACCTCCAACCTAAAATGGCTCTGGGAAATCCCCTCTAGGCAAGGTAACTAGCTTCCAAGAATAAAGTTCAAAGGGCAAAAACCAGTTGGAGGTCCCAAATCTAGCTGTTCTACCTCATTAGCCACAAATACATGAAGTCAGTCATTCTGGTACCAGACACTGCACAAGGACATGTAGCCAAGCTCTCAAATACACACACAGAGATCAGAAGTCCTCTGGAGTCCCCAAGCAGCACTAGCAGACTCTGGGTGAGCTGCCTGCCCTCCCCTCTGTCCAGCTCCCACAGTGGCCCTCAGCACCCCCTCCCTCCACCACGCTGAGTGCCAGAAGTACACAACGTCCTTCTTGGCTAAGCTTCATTCATCCAGATGACATTTACTGAAGCACCTACTACATTCGAGTCATTAGGGTCAAGAGTCAGGGACACAAGGACTCTGCTTGATCCCTAAAGAACAGTGCTCTGTTCCCAGGGGGCCCCAAATAGGCACTACTGGCTGACTGGTACAGTGGGCAGACCAAAGGCACAGGAAGTCAAAAGTGTCATTAGTGAAAGGCAAAAGACTACGTCGCAGAGTGGCCAAGTGTAGGCGAGGCAGGAGGAGAAATGCCCAACACTGCTAATGGTGGGCAAGAGCACACTGGCTCCAGAGAAAGGGCAGTCAGGCAGAGCTGGACTTCTGGACACCTAGCCCTGACTCTGCCAAGAGAAAAGCTCCACCTCTCCTCTCTGATCTCTGAGCTACTATAAAATTAAAACTATTTCTAAGTTATCCCAAAACAGAATGTAGAAAGAAAAAGCTTTAGAAATTAATTAGATGCAATGGCTGAATATAATTTTCAGTAGTACCTACCATCTGCGACTGACACTTATGTGTTAGGCCATTTACTTCATCTAATTTAATCTGACAGAGTAGGTTTATCATCTTTATCTTACAATTGAGAAAACTGAGGCCACTCTGCCAGTGGCCAGCTCCAAACCTTGTATACATCCCACCACATGATGTGCCTCCCTATCTGTACGCAAGGATGTGGGGCTGGGAGTGGGATTATCTCCTCCTGGGCTAATGGGGCTTCAGGCTACAGAGAACTGGAGCAATCCTCAAAGAACTCTGAGAAGTCAGAATTATCAGCTTCAGGAGGGTCCATCTGCATACCTCACAGTACCCTGGACAGGACAGCAAGGTTCCTTCAGAACTCAGAATTCATTCATTCATCCCCATCCATCCATCAAGCATATACTGAGCACCTACTGTGTTCCAGGCCCTGTGATAAAGACCAGTCTCCACCCTGCACAGAAAAGTGAACATGGACACTTATAAGAACTGAGAGACAACCCATCCAGTCTGGGGCCTCAAAGGGGGTACAAAGGGGCACCAGAACCAGTTACCAGGACTGAGTGGATGGAGGTTAGTGCTGGGGTTGGGGGAGGAGAGGAGTTCCTGGCAAGAGGGCACCATGTGATTACCCTGACAATGAAATCAGCAGTGAATGAAGTCACCCGTGCATACAAAACACTTACCTAAGCAATAATCAGTAAATGATTTCAAGGTCTACCAGCATGCTAATCTACCTAGGGCTGTAGTTGATTAGCAGTTCTAAAGTACTATGCCTGTAAAGAGACAGCAAGCCACTCTGAAAGGTGCAGAAACTCTATTTGCTCTCTTGAAATTCTCACTATTTAAGAAAAAAAGATGAAAGTCTGGCAAAAATATAGATCACACCTCTACGAGGTAGAGATCCCACTCTACAGTTGAAGAAACTGAGGCTAATAAATCCAACCTGTCTGAGTCCATGCTTTGAACCACCATCCACTGCTGCCTCCCAATGGGATGAGGACAGCCTGTCTCCATTTCCTCCCCTTCCCTTGTCTGATGTCCACTCAATTGAAGGGACTGATAGTTTTCCTTGACCTCCTAGTTGCCAGTTCCATTCTTTATCTTACTTAATAGTTCCTCCAGAAAGGCTACCTTTGAGCATAAGCCCACCACCCTTGGGCCTTCCCCAGCTCCCACATCACACTAGCCACACTGCGTTAGAGTGGTGCACTTACCTGTCTCTCCCATCAACTGTGAGCTAGAGGGCAAACAAGTAACAGTCATCCTTGGGTCTTGCTTAGAACTAGGCACAGAGTAGATATTCAGATTTCACTGGCTGAATCAAAAATCTCTCTGAAATCTGACTCCACCCTCACTGCCCTGAAATCTCCCTCTTCAAAGTCACCAGTGACCTCTAAGTTGAAAAGTCCAAGCAACACCACTCCTTGTCTAGCTTGACCTCTTAGCAGATTGGACACTGTTGGCCACTGGCTCCTCAAATTGCTCTCCTCCACTCACCATCTCTCATTTCCCTCCTATCTCTCTACTACTTCTCCAACTTTTTGCAGACTATTTATCCATCAGTGTTGGTATTCTTCAGAATGCTGCCCTGAGCCCTTTTCTACTCCCCTTCTACATCCTGTCCCAAGATCATCTCATCTGCTACTGTGATTTCAATGATACACTGATGTTTCCCAGAAGTGTATCACCAGCCCCAACTGTCATGATTTCAGATACATACGAATATCCAACTACCCAGGCACAAAATTCAGCCTATCCAAAACATCAATTTCTCTCAAACTTACTGCTCCAACAGTATTCCCCCTGTAAGTAACTGGCATCACCACCCAGATGCTCAAGCCAGAAACCTTGGACGTCTTGTCATCGACCTCTACCCATCAGTGTCCAAGCCTTAACCAGTCTCATCCCCAAAATATGACTGCAGTCCTTGCCATCATCCTCTCACCAAGATCATGGCAGCAGCTCCTTAACGATCTCCCTGCTTTCAGTCCTGTAAACTGAAGCTGGAGTAACCTAAAATCACAAATTTTAAAATCTAAATCATAAATGTGACTCTCCTGCTTTAAAAGCCTCATGAGGTTTTTCATTGCCTTGGGAGAAAGTCCACCAAACTCCTTAATATGGTTCATGTTATAGATCATGTTTTCCAGGGATGTCTCAATATCTCCCATCGCACATGCTTTTCAGACAATGTGTTTGATGGTCCACCCATAAAGAGGTAGAGTTGATGCCTCTTCTCTTGCAAATGGGTGGTCTTCTGTTAAGGTTTCCACCTGTAGAGTACAGCAGGAGCAACATCCTGTGACTTCAAAGGCTAGGACATAAAAGGCAATGCAGCTTCCACTCTGGAAGCCTTCAGCTGCCAAGCAAACAGTCTGAGTGCTCTGAGGCTGCCATTATGGGAGGAAGCTCAATGGAAAGGACCCAACACAACTTGAGAAGATGCGCAGGTAGTCCCCATCTTCTTCAGTGCCCTGTGCCAGCTCCTGCCACCAGCTGAACACAACCACATGAGACTGAGCCAGAACTGCCCCACCTAGCCCTTCCCAAATTACTGAGCCACAGAAATCATGAAAGAATAAAATGACTATTGTTTTAAGCCACTAAGTTTTAAGTGACCAATTAAACAGAAATAATAATTGGAATAGTTTATAAAGCCTATCCTATGACCTCCATCTACCTCTGCAGGCCAACTCTCAACATTTCCCACATTAAGCTCAACACCAGCCCACCCTGAACTCCTTTCCATGTCTTTAAGATGTCCGTCCTTTCTTGTCTCCAACTTTTTCTACATCCTGTTCTTGCTGCCAGAGGTGCTCCTCTTCCCTCTCTATTCTACTGGTTAGTTCTTCTTCATCATTCAGGTGTCAGCTTTAACTTCCTCATGGAGTTTCTCAACTCCTAGGCTGCTGCAGTCTTCTCCTGTGGCTCCCTGTGCCTCACAACTAAACATTCCTCATAATCCACTGTAATCATGTGTTGGGTTGCCCATCCTGCCCACCCCCATCGTCCCTCCAGCACGTGCACACACAGACTGAGAGCTCCATAAATACAATCCTCAGGGCTGGGAAAATGGCAAGTGCTTCATGAATATTTGTTGAATGCACAATCTCCAGCCCCATCTCTTTCCTGAGCTCCAAAATGGGCGCATCAACCTACTACCCTACAAATAACTTGCAAATTCCACAAGATTCCATCCTCTCCCTCCCTGTAAATAATGCCGCCACCTACCAGTTATTCAGACCAGGAACCTCATCTCATCGTTCAAGGAATATTTATCAAGCTCCTTTCTTTGTTTCTTTGCTGCAGATATAGTGGGCCATAGGGCAGGCTCAGCCCCTATGGCACAGAATTACAGGCTGGTGGACCTTTCCCTTGTCACCTCCCCATCTCTTACCTCTTACATCACATATCCCAGTAAGTATCGTTGGTTGTACTGGTTATATGTTCTAAATCACTCTCTGATCTGTCCCCTCCTGGAGACATCATCTCCTGAATAAGCCACACCCCACTGCCAATGCCATTGTTCAGGATTTTGTCATTTCCTGCCCAGATTGCTAAGAGCTTCCTAATCTGTGTCTCTGCCTCCAGCTTTGCTCTTATGTCCCATCCCAGCTCCAGTGTTCCACCACTTAAAACCCTTCAGTGGCTCCTCCTATGCTTTAGAATAAAATCTAAACTGTCCAGGAAGTTTGCCTCATGCTCTAGTCCCTTGCCTCCCTTTGTCCCCCTGCATCTCAATCCCTGCCACACCTGTACCCACACTTTTCTCACCTTTGCCTTTCACTGTCTTTCCCTATACCCAGAATGCCCTTGCCCCTTCTTCAGTCAACAGATATTTACGGAGTACCTGGCAGAAACCCGGCACTGCTCTCAGTGCCAGAGATTCAGCAGCGAACAAAACAAAGTCCTTACTCTCATGATGTTTATATTCTAGAAGGAAAGAAAGACAATAAATGAGTAAATAATTAATGTCAGGTGGTGGTAAGTGCTATACAGAAAAACAAAATAGGAAGGGAGACAGAGTGACCGTTTCGGATAGGCTGGGTTTCTCAGAAGGTATTATTTATGCGAAGACACAAATGGAGTGAGGGAATGAGCTCTCCGGGCATCTGGGGACACCAAGGTCCCAGCAGAACAACAATAAGTACAAAACCCCTGAAACAGGAACATGCCAAGCAAACTGAGGGAAAAGCAGGAGGCCAGTGTCTCTGGAGCAGCATGAAGGTGTGAGAGGTCTGAGAGGAGCCAGACAAGTCACATGGAGGAGGCCATGCAGGCCACGGTAAGTGGATGCTTCGCCTGCCCCTAGGCTCCTTTTCATCCTTCAGTGTTGAATGTGAACATCTCCTGAATACGCCGCACTCCACCCCCATCCACCTCTGACCACATACAGTGTTTAATTAACAATTTTCACCTGTCTCCTTGACCGCACCATGAGTTGTTTCCTGCCGTAGGACTCTACCTTCCAGCTCCACAGTCAGTACATTTTTCTCATGTAATCCAAACTCTCTTCCTTTGTTGTGATTCCATGCCCCTGCAAGCAATTCCCTGATTACCAAATTGGCTTCCCACCGCCAATGGTACTAGGGGGTGCCTTGATAGTGAACACATGCCTCTGGTCATTAGAAAACATACATGTATGCTCACCATTGTACATTAATAGCCTGGCATCAGCATTGACACATCAGCCTCATTTTTAGATGAGACTCAGTGGGAAAATAACCAACTCTGGGTCACAACAACCCAAGGAAAGCAGTGTGTGCAACGGCCACATGAGCAGCCCAGCAGAAGCTCCAGGTGCCCCCTCTACCTCAGCCCATTCTCCCTATTTCAGGTGGCAGCCCTGTGGCCCCCAACCTGTCCAAGCTTGAGTCAGCACCACCTCTGAACACTCCCACCCCCCACATCCAGAAGTCCTGGACATTCCACCTGATAGCTATTTCTTTATCCATCCCGTCACCTCCCATCCCAAGGCCCCACCTATAGTGCAAGCCTTCCCTGCCCTTCATGTGGACTCAGGTTTCAGCTTCCCAAACCGGTCTCTTTACCTTCTGTGTTTCACTCTTTCCAACAACACTCTCCACATGGCCACCAGAATTCTTCCAAGCAAACCTGATTTCACTTCCCCACTTAAAAGCAATAGCTTCCCCCTACTTTCAAGATAAAGTCTGACCTTTTTAGGGAAGAGGTAAAAACCCTCCTGCAGCTGCCCCAGGCTACATTTCCATTCTCTACCTCCTCACCCTCCTCTCCCACCCTACATTCCAGCCACACCACTGACCCAGAATTCCCTGACCACCCCATGCCTTTCTGCACCTCCATGCCTTTCTGCACCTCCATGCCTTTCTGCACCTCCACACCTTTCCACGTGAGGTTCCCTCTGTCAGAATGTCATAGGAGACAGCTAAGTATCTTTTCAAAATTCGATTCAGACATTATGGTCTCTTTGACGTCTTCCTAAGCTCTCTTTGCCATAAGGAGGACGTCGTCCCACCTGCCCAAAGTGCCTCTGCCATTGCACTTATCAGGCTGTGTGACAACTGTTTGTGCACGTTTGTCTCCCACCTGGACTCCATGTTCTCATGGCAAGGGCACATTTTCCTCTTCTTTGTTTTCAAGCACTAAGTAGACTATCTAGCACATACCATGCCCCAAATGCTTTCTGAATGAATGAAAGTTCTATATGAAAGCCCTCTCTTGCTAAACCTGAAGACTTCAGCCCAAGTCCTCCTTTGTGCATGGATTATGGCACACAGAGACAAACTCTGCAGAGTGAAAAGTGCACCAGCCTTGCATTTGCATCTGGGCTCCATATCTATATGACCTTAAGGAAGGAAGGTGCAGTGACTGTTTACTTCTGGGTTTTTGGGGAGAGGAAGTACAATTCGGTGAGAACTATAGATCATGACTCAAGGGTAACATTATTGATGATTATTATGTTTTAAGGTTCTCTCTTGACTACTTATAGGCCTTTTCCTCCCCCTCCTTCCTGGCTTTCCGAATGGTTATGATTAGATAAATGAGGTCTCACTGCATAGATGGTATCCAGACAGAATGTCCTCCTAGGTCTCAGCATCTGACATGCTCTAGGTGCTTATTAAGCAATGGCTGAAGGAAGAAACACATGAATCATATGTCCCTAAATTCTTACAATCTTGGTTGCCCTTCTGAACCATTTTCCATATCTGTGTCCCTCTAGAATTATTACAAAGTCCTACAAGCAACCAAAAGAGAGAGTAATTTAAAACATAATCATCAGTGTTACCATTGAGCCATGACTTACGGTTTTCACCAAATCTCACTTCATCCTCACAGTAGCCTGGAAGCAGTCACAGAACCTTCCTTTCTTCCTTCCTCCCTTCCTTCCTTCCTTATGATCACACAGCTATCAAGTCCAGCCTCAAATGCAAGCCTCAAATGGTGTGCTTTTCACTCTTACCTAGAACTGTCTCAAACATATGCCATAAATGTCATGCACAAAACTCCATGTGTTTTATTAATTGGGTAGCTTTGCAGATTAATCATAACCGTGTCTACTTTGTGTGTATTCTTACAAGGATTTACATGTACATGTTTGTGTACTTGGGTGTAGAAAAGTTTAAGTATGTCTATTCTCAAATTAGAAGCAGCAAATTAAAAACAGGTGACAGTTGGAGGAAAGCACAATGCCAGAATCGAGGAACAACAGCTGTTAGAGATGGCACAGATCAGAATCACAAAAGAATAAAACCTGATGAGCTGAAGTCAGGCCAGCACTCTGAGGCCACTGAGGAAACAAACATTTATCCCCACCCCAGTGGCCTGGGAAGGCCTCATAGTTGAACAACAACAAATGGAGAACTGGGGAGGGAAGAACTGAGCTTCCAGCTTCAGATGATGGGGGAATCTAGCTCTTCCAGAGTGTATTTTTTCTGTTTATCTTGTTAGGGGAGGGAGCACAGACCAGTTGGAGCTAGGAAGTCAGGACTTGGGGTACCTTGGTTCTCACATTAAGAACCCTGAACTTGACTAAGGAGCCAAGACCCTAAACTATATCCTGGTTCCTGGAGGAAGTATGCTTTGGTGTTGCTTTCTGTGGGTGGCAAGAATTGAGATGTGCAATGTGACCCTGAGTCACAAAAGAAATGTCAAGTTATAAGAGCAAGCAAACATATCATTACTATTAAAGAGATCTCAACAAAGAGGGTTAAAGGAATAGAATTCTGGTGCTTCAAGGAAAACAGCCATATGTAGAAGAGAAATTTTGTGACTGATAAAATTCTGGAAAAAAGCAAACCAAAGAATTATATGTGTACTATGATCCCCTTTTGTAAAACAGAACAAAACTACAACCTTGGAAATTTTACTTAGATGGAATAATCCTTACTCTACACAAAATACATAACTGCATTCCCACAACTGATAGATCATAAATTAATTTCACCAGTAAGTCAGAATTTTAATAGTCCAGAATTTTATCAGTCACAAAATTTCTCTTCTACATATGGCTGTTTTCCTTGAAGCACCAGAATTCTATTCCTTTAACCCTCTTTGTTGAGATCTCTTTAATAGTAATGATATGTTTGCTTGCTCTTATAACTTGACATTTCTTTTGTGACTCAGGGTCACATTGCACATCTCAATTCTTGCCACCCACAGAAAGCAACACCAAAGCATACTTCCTCCAGGAACCAGGATATAGTTTAGGGTCTTGGCTCCTTAGTCAAGTTCAGGGTTCTTAATGTGAGAACCAAGGTACCCCAAGTCCTGACTTCCTAGCTCCAACTGGTCTGTGCTCCCTCCCCTAACAAGATAAACAGAAAAAATACACTCTGGAAGAGCTAGATTCCCCCATCATCTGAAGCTGGAAGCTCAGTTCTTCCCTCCCCAGTTCTCCATTTGTTGTTGTTCAACTATGAGGCCTTCCCAGGCCACTGGGGTGGGGATAAATGTTTGTTTCCTCAGTGGCCTCAGAGTGCTGGCCTGACTTCAGCTCATCAGGTTTTATTCTTTTGTGATTCTGATCTGTGCCATCTCTAACAGCTGTTGTTCCTCGATTCTGGCATTATGCTTTCCTATGATCCCCTTTTTGTAAAACAGAACAAAACTACAACTCTTGAAGGAATAAGAAAAAGTCAGGAAGACCATGTAAACCACTAATGGTGCTTACCACAGGCAACTGAGGGAAGGTGAAAATTGTTTTCTTTTAACACTTCGGTACTGTTCGAATTTTCACACCAAGTATCCATTAATTTCACAAAACTACACAAGTGTTTGTCAGAATCATTCATTTCCATCTCCTCCCTACCGGCAGACTGGACTCACGGCCTGACCTCTGCCCTGGTGCTCCGCCCCCACCTCCTGCCCCAGCCCCACTTACAGATGCAGGCAGCAGCCAGCAGCCGGCCGGCAGCATACGGGGCAAAGCAGCTCGGGAAGAAGGGCTGCACCATGTAGTTTGCAAAGGTGATGGCAATGATGGCCTGGCTTGTGGGCTCGATGAGGAGGAGGGAGGTCCAGAGACGGATGAAGGCAAGGAATCCCCCGAAAGCCTCAAGGATGTAGGCGTAGCTGGCCCCAGATTTCTTAATGGTAGTGCCCAGTTCCGCATAACAAAGGGCCCCAAAGACGGAAAAGAGGCCCCCGACAGCCCAGATGACCAGGGAGAGGCCAAAGGAGGCACTGTACATGAGTACACCCTTGGGGGAGACGAAGATGCCCGAGCCAATCATGTTTCCCACAATCAGACACACGCCATTAAGCAGCGAGATCTCCTTCTTCAGCTGTACCTGCTCCGACCCCGGGCTGGCCTCACTGGCCAAAGGGGAGGCATCTCTCTCATGCTGGGGGGCCACTTCATACTTAATGCAATCAGCCATGTTGGAGAAGAGAGCCTTCACCAACTTCCGGGCATTGCCCTCTAAGGAAGAAAGATGAAGATCTATATCAGGTGGTTGGCAATAACACAGAACTCTCCCCATAGGGGCCAGAACACACCCCCGCCCTCCATTGCAGAGACCTCACCTCTGCCTCCCACCTCCCATTAACCTCTTCTTCTCCAGCTGGCTTGTCAAAACCACCCAACTTGAATTTTTAAGGTCAGGCATTCATTCCCCAGAGAGAAAGCATCTGTTTTTCATCATTACGCTGGTGCTGCCCACCAGATTTACAAAATAGAAAACTAAATGCTGGTTCTATCTGAGCCTGCCATGATATGAGACAGGAATAAGGACAATTTGGCAGTTTCCAAATGTAACCATCAGGATCTCCGCCTGTGTTTTTCATCCTTACCCAAAAACAGTGTCTTCTCTCCAAATTTAGTCTCACCTATCACCTGTGCTGAGATGCCACATTAGGAACCAACCTTGCAAGCAGCTGATCTGTGGGTTATTCCCCCAATACTGCTCTTTCCCCAGGACTTGCGCTCTGGCAAAACTAAAGGCTCCAAGACCTCTGGCCAAAAACCCATCAGCAGCATCCTGCTCAGGCAGCAGCCTGAGTGAAGTCTTCAGCCCTGGCAAAGCCCAGGCAGCCCCACCCCACCCTGGAAGAAGACAGGCTCTTCTCTTTCCATGGCCTTTTTTCAACAGATACCTTTCCCAGTCCCTAGTGTTCAGGACTCCTGCCATCAAATCCCCCCATCAGTAGAGCTGTGTCACCCAAAAAAGTATGAATGAGAGAAGGGCAATCCAAATACACAGCCCAACCCGGAGATGACTGGAGGCAGCTGATGAGCGCTCCCACCCAGGAGGTGCTGCTGAGGGCCCCCAAAGCCGGGGCACGGAAACAGGGGAAGCGGCAGCAGGTGCTGGGCATGGCAGAGCAGGAGACAGCTGGGGGAAAACAGGCGAGGTGGGCCAAGCAAGGGGATAGAAACTGGAGTTAAGGCTCTCGGGAGAGGAACTGAGTGGATACTGCCAAGCAGCAAGAGGGGGTGGGCAAGTTGAGTGGGGCTTAGGGAAAGGGTGGGAAGCACACTCACTCCCTGGCCCTAGGTATAAGCAGGTCCCCGCAGTGGCAGCTAGTGCAGTCCTCCAGGAACTGTGGTCTGACCGCTCCTCCTTTCCAGCCAGCAGTAAAAGGGAAGGCCAGGCAATGCTTATGGATTTAAGTCAAAGTCAAGAAGGGCGGAGAGGGGGAGAGAGGGGGAGGGGAAAGTTAAGCAACTGTCTGGGTCCAAAGTTCACTGGCCCTTCACATCTGCAAAAGGGGTGGCTAGGAACTCTTGGCTCAGCACTTTTTGCGATAAGAAGGCCTCTCTCAGGAATCTCCTTTGTCAGCTTTGCTCCAGGATTGGGAGCGAAGAAAGGATAGTCAGCTGGGCGCAGTTTCTGTAGCCCTGGGGAAGCTGTCTCCAAGCAAATTCGCTGAGGACAGGGCAGTAGCTGAAAAGAGTACACAGCTCCCATCTCTGTCTTCCAGCCCCACCCTAGCCCCACTTCTCTCTCACCCCAAACCAGAAAGGCAAGAAGACTGCACTGTAAACACAAAGGTTTGTCCACTTGCTCAGATTAGAGGAAGCGCGAGTGCAGTCCCTACCCCTCGTGATTGGGTGTCCTAAGAGAACACCGCACACTTCCCCACACACACTGAGGGAGGGAGTGGCTGCCCATAAACTTGGGCCGTTACCACAGGGCTGAGCTGCAAGCTGCTTCCAAGGAAACAAGGTCAAGAAATGAAATGCAAATCTCTGGCTTATCCCACCCAACTCGCGTGCCCTTTCATCCTTAAGAAAACACACCAGGATCTTTGGGGTAAGCGTAAATTCCTAAACACCTTCCCCAATACAAATTTATTCCAATTTCCTAAAAATATGGGGAAATAAGATATCTCTGAGCTAGCCTGACAGAAAAGCCCAGAACAGAGGAAACTGAGCACTTTTTAGAAATCACATAATTCTATCTTTACAGCCTACTTGAACCTGGTATTCCAGGACTCTTACCGATAGAAATAAACCTATCCATTCTGAAATCCCACTGTCTTCCCCTTCTCACACCCCGTCTAACCTTCTCTGTGTTCTACAACCAGAGAATTAAGATCTAAAAATCCCCCTGGGGGTGGGGTGGGGAGAGGGGCTTACCTCTACCCTACATCCTCCCATTCTAGCCCCTTAAATTTTGTTTTTAAACCAGAAGGAGGATCCTGGTGTTAGCCTTCCTAGAGATCATGCTTCTCCCAAGCCATCCTCACAAATACCTGAAATCCACCCAGAGGAGACTCTTCTTTTCTCCCAGCTCCCTTTCTAAATGCTCCTATTATAACAATAGCTGCCGTTTATTGAGCACCTACTCAGGCCAGATACACTGCTAAACATCTAAATGCCTTATCGCATTTAATTCCCCCTGCAGCCCCTTCAAGCAGGCACTAAAATGCGTGCCAGCCTTTGGGATGCCCAGGCTCTAAGCTTTCCTGTCAGTCAGAAAGCACTGCAGATGGCTCTCTAAGATTACATGAGGGAGGAGGTGATTACATTAAAAGGAAAGCCTCTGCCTGCCTTCAGCCTGAAGCCTAGGCTAAAGGCTCCCACAACCCGTCCATCTCCTCCAGACTGCTCCTCCCCTTTTTCATCCCTTTGCATGGATGAGAGGCAATCACAAGTCCTCTCGGCAGCGCGGCTCTTACTAGGATGGCCACTTCTAAGGCAAACAAAACACACGGAAGTACATCATCATGCCTGTCCTTTTAAGACCAAACTCACTGGCCTCAATACTAAGCAATGTAAAGAAAAGGAATGAAGGAGGGACAAATGAAGAGGAAACTAGGGTAAGGTGGGGAGAAAGGTGCACAGGGTTTAGATCCGGCCTGGTGGTATCTGAAAAGTGAAGTCCTCGTGGAAACAGGAGACAGAACCACTGGGGAAGAACCCACATTCCAGGAAACAGCACACCCTAGCGGTCTCACCAGGAAGTGCTACAGGTGGAACCTTTTAACCTGCTTTTCAGTCAGCCCACCAAAACTGGGCAGGGGAGACTGTTTTTCATACAAACCATGCCCCCTCTTTACTCAACCATTGCCTTGCGGCAGCAGCCATACACAACAAGGCAATGTCTTTGGCAGCTCACATTCCTTCCTGAGACCCTGGATCTCGGGGTAATGTTTCCACCATTCAGGCAGCCTGGCACCTGAAGAGCCGCTCCTGAAGGGCTCTCCCACCCTAGGCTTACATTTGAAACTTGCGGAGTCTGCAACCTCAGGAGGTAACAGCGTTAGGACGCACAGCAGCCCTGTCTTTTTCCTGTCTGAGGTACATTCATCGCTGAGGACCTAGTCGGGCTGCAGGACAACACTCTCATTCTCCAGCCTGTGGGAGAAGTTTCAGATTCTGAGGTCGAGGGAACACCGGCGGCAGGGCCCCCAGCATGCAGTGTCCAGCACAGCAGCCAAGGGAAGCCCCACTCCCTGTCCCCACCCGTGAATGACAACACCAAAACATACTTCCGCCAAGAACCAGCACACAGTTCAGGGTCTTACTCAGTCAAGTTCAGGGAGCTAAATGTGAGAACACACTTTCTCCGCCCCCCACCCCCACCATGCCCCAAGTCCTGTCTTCCTAGCTCCAACTGATCTGCCTCCCCTAACAACACAAAGACAAAACAGATACACCCTGTAACAGCTATTTCCCCATCGCCCCAAGCTGGAAGCTCAGACTCTCCCTCCCCAGTTCTCCATTTGTTTTCGTATATTCCACTGTGGCTACGACAGACCCTTAAAAAAAAAAAAGAAAGGAAAAAAAGTGAAACAATAAATTGTTTACTCCTGTGGCCAGGGCTTCTATTAACATAAGACTGAAGTCTCTGGGCAGAGTGGGCTCTGGGACCGAGAAACAACAGGCTCTGAAGTCTCCCTCAGCCAATTCTCAGGACTCACTCCATCCTCCTCCAGCACTTCCCTCTCACCCACTGCCCCTTCTCCCCCACCTCTTACCTGTCCCGTGACCTTTGGGTAGGGGCAAGGAGGAGGGGCTACCAGCACGCTGGGGAGTGGAGGAGGGGAAGGTGCTGGGACGGGAAATCCAGCCCTACAGCTGAAACTGTAGCAGCTGTTGACTGTGAGGATCAGAAAAGGCAGAGGGTGACGGGGACCGAAATGGAAAACAGGAAAACACATGTGCAATTCTGGCCGGCAGTGGGGAGGGGCCAGGGGATGGGCTGGAGCTGGGACTGCCTGGTTAGACCCAGAGGACCTCCACGCCTGCAACCTCTAGGTGTCTTCACTGTGACTCTTAGCTCCTCCTCTTCCCTACCCAGCCCCTGATGTTCCCTGTCGTCTGTCCCACGTTTACTGAGCACTTAAGCTCTCCCAGTGACTTACAGTGGCCGCCTGATGCCCTTTACAACTCCCTTTTCCCTCAGTCCACTTCCTAATTTCCCACTCACACTGCCCTTGGTCCTAATGAGGGAATCAGATCCTCATGTAGAGCAATGGAACTCTTCAGGCCCATCTCTAGAGTCTCAGTGCCATTTCAGCCCCTAGAGAAGGCAAAGCATGCCAAGCACCTGAACACTAAGAAAGCCCACTCACAGCTCAGGTGCCCAATTTGTTCAGGTGTTCACAGGTTCAGGTATTCCAGCCAAAGGGGCCAGAACAAGCCCTGGCACTCTAGACAGGCTAATGAGTTGTCACCCCTTCAAATAAAGATTAAATATATCGGCTGAATATTTACTTAGCAGAGATGGGGGATTACCAGTTTTCTCAGAATAAGAACTTTAAACTTCATCCTTTCTATTCAAAATTAGAGCTTATTACATGAATTTGTTACATGCGACTTTCTAAAGCAATTTCTTGGTAAGCACATCAAGCCTTTTAAAATGTAGACAACTGTATAAATCTTTCTCGGAGAGTGGCACTTCAGAGTGCCTGGTGCATCATCAGAATTCCAGCTGTGACTGCTGCCTTTAGGCAACTACTAGCTGGGTGCAACTTGTATCCGGACCTGCATGATGCAAAATTATTCTAGAGACAGGTGGCCCAGGTAGGCAGTCGTCAAGGAGTCTATCAGTGGATGGGAGTCAACTTACAGTTCACCAAGAGAAACAAATAGAAATCAGAGTTCACTGGCACCCAATGTCTGAATTACTATGAGGGTAATTTAGTGCCCTTTTAGACCCAGGCTGCTGCCCAGCTGTCCTGTTCCTCCCATTCTAGGATCAGGTCCAGGTTGTAAATGAGGTAAGTCCTATGAAGACAGCCCTAAAGCTGCCCTGCTCTCTCTCACTCCCCTCCAGCCACACTGGCCTCCTAGCTGTTGCCACACAAGCAGCATGCTCCCAATTCAAAGCCTTTGCTGTTGCCATTCCTTCTACCTGAAACATTCTTCCCTGTGACACTGTCCATTCCTTCATTCACTCCATTCAGGTCTATGCTTAAACACCACCCTATCCAGGCTTTCCCTGAGGAGTCTCTGAAAGAGCAACTTCGTCCCTCTGTCAGTCTCCATCCCGTCACCATGCTGAACACAAAGAAAGCCCACTCAGAGCTCAGATGCCCTCACTTTTCTTCCAAAGCACTCACTGTCACCTGAGGTTTATTTGTAGATTTGTCCTCTCCTCTCCCCACTAGAATGCCAGCACCACCAGAGCTTTTATTCACCCTATATCCTCAGGGCAGGGCACCTAGAGCCAGTCAGGAAATGTTTGCTAGACGAATAAATGAATGAACGAACAGTGCTGTTCCTCCTAGACTGATTTCCCTGCAGGCTGGGCTCCAGTAATGTCCTTGAACTCGCCCTTCCGGCCTACCTATGCAACTCTGCTTTGGCTCCTAACCAAGGAGTATTTTGAAGTCTTTACTCTTTTTGGTAGTATTGAGTTAGAGAGGGAGAGTGGGAGGGTAGGAGGGTAAAATTTTACTGGGAAGCCTAGTCTGGTTTGAAATGGACTTTATGTTTCATTAATGGGAAAACAAAAACAAAACGGCCCGCATCTAATGCGCTTTCCCCGGATCCGGGAAGCTTTTGGTTGCTGTCCCACACCTGGGTTCAGGTGACGGGCTAGGTGCAGCGGAAGCTCAGTGCGACGGCCCGAAAGGGTAAAAACGCAGAGAAGGCGAGCGCTCAGGTTCACGTAAAAACAGACGCGTTCAAGAGTGGAACCGGAACCCTTTAGGCGTCAACTCTTCCTAGAACCCGCCCTCCAGCTCACCTCTCCACAGCCCGTACAGCCCCCTCCGCCCCAGCCCAGCCCGCGGTCGCGCTCACCTTTGCCCCCTTCTCCCACACCCCCACTCGGCCTCGGCTCTCCCCGGCCCGGGCTTCACGTTGTCCCTGCCGTTTGCTTTTTAGTTCCCTCTCTCGTGCTCGCCCTCTGGGCCCCGGGTTCTGTGCTTGCGGCCCTAAGATCTCGCCTTACCAAACAGCGATCTAGCTCTCACCTAGGGGACGAGGGCCCCACCCGGCGTCCCTTCCGTTCCCTCTACCTGGCCAAACAGTCCCCGCCCCCTCCCCGGGATCCAGGAAGGGCCGGAGGGTTATGGTGGGTATAGACAAAGGTTTGAGAACGGAGCAGCCCCACAACCCACTCCCCTGCCCTCTCCTCGCTCAGGCACAGTTCGCTGCCCTGGGAAATGAAAATGACCGCGGCTACCGGCTACCCTTGGACGCGTCCTCCGCCCCAGCAATGCTTAGCTTCCTCTTCCCTCCCTCCCAATCCAGCTCGAGCTGGCTGCCCGACGGGGGTCTGGGCGAGGGCCCTGAACCCTGGCAACCCCGCCTCCAGTCCCGAGACTTTCAACTGACACTCGGAAGGGCCTCTGGACTGCATAGCCCCGCCGCCAGGGAAGGGGGTCTCCCGGAAGGGCGTTTCAGCTCCCCGCCCCCTCGGGGAAGCCGTTTCATCAACTTCCAGATCCCGAAGTGGTCTCTTCCAGGCTGCGAAGGTGTCGGGCAATAGAGCCGCCGCCAGGAGGCAGCACTTAACAAAAAATGCCGCGCTGAGGGTGCCCCGAAGCTGGGATCCCCAAAGCACTTTGTGGATTCTAAAGAATCTTAGCAGCAGCGTGGACCCAACAAGAGAGAGTTGCTGGGCTAGTTCAAGAAAAGTGATCTGGAAATGTTTCACCACGTTTTAATGCTAAAAGATAACTTGTAAACAATACAATGTACTTTTGTGTACCTTTTGAATAATCCAGCTTTGGCCATTGCCACTCTGCAGAGATTCATAGAGACCCACCACCTTCGAGACCGGTCTGGTGGAAAGACACACAGCTTTAACAGACTTCCCAGCTGGCAGGCAAGACAAAAAAAGTATAGCTCAGGGTTATAATAAACCCATTATCTAACACAGAATTTAGCCAGGACTGATTTAGTAGGAATTTGACAGCCATGGAAAAATTAAAGGAATGTGTTACAATAAATTATGTAAGTAATAAGGAAATAATACTGAAAGCAAAGTATTGTGTGAGAGCAGTTTATAGCTTTCAGTTCCCACACTTGTAGCACGTGACACTGATTTGATTGTTGAGCTGTCTCAAGGAGGACGATAATGAAGGAATGTGAAATAAGACACTTCCCAAATCAAATCTTTTACTCTTCTTCAACCTTAGAATTTAGTAACAAGCATGCAAAAAGGGGAAGAGGCTGCAAAATGAGATGGAATTGGCCACCCCAAACCAGCTTCACTTACATTTTCCCCAATGTCATTATTCATCACAAGGGTTAAAAAAGCACCTAATTACCCAGAGCAGAATACAAAAATTACTCTGTACAGGTCTGACAGAAGGATATTCAAATAACATACTGGACAAAAATATGAGTAGATAATAAACTATTAAAGCTAAATACAGGCCACAATGCCATGGAGAAGCATAAGGGTTTAAGTAAGTGAAGAAAGATGTGAAGCTCAGATACCTGATGCTTCGCATTGTTCTTAACTCTAGCCTTTGTTAGATGAAGTCCAGAAGTTGAAAGACATCGAGTTTAGGATGACGAAGCCACCTTTCTGTGTCTTATGAGTCTGAAGTCATTGAGGAAAGCTGTTCATGTACCAGACCCCCTCCCCTGCATGTTTTCCATGAGGTTTCTGAGAATGCTGCTGCAGTTAGATGTCAGCACTAATGTTCTCTTTCTCTCTCAAAATCCTAATCCATATTTCCTGCGATTTACAACCCATGAGTTGTCCCCCTGCCACATCACACTAACCATGTCAAAGCCTGAACTTGTCTTCCTTCCAAAGACCTTTCCCCTCCCACATCACCCAGTTTTCCTGATCAAACTTCCCATCCTGCCGCCAGAGCCCAGGGCTTATTGCCTGTGTTCACTTCTGCATATGGAATTCATATTGTCCACACTATTTGTTTATCTTAATGCATGTGCCCTTTTTATGATCTTTTTCAAACCCTAATATGTGAGCTACTAGGAATGTTGCTGGTTCAATTCCTTTATATAGTGTTGGTGGTAGTGCCAGCCAGTCATCTTTCCTGTCAGTCTTGAATGTTGGTTGGCATTGGGGTTATTTTTCTAGCCCTGAGTTTCCAGTACTAGATTCCCCACTATAAACTATGTAATGGGATTCCAGTGCTGTCTACTTCAGCTATCTTAGAACCAGCTAGACACATGGAACCAGGCTTGGAAAAGGTGTCATTAAATCACAACTGTAAAACAATAAATCCAAAGCCACATTTTGGTTCAATTTCCTGACCTCGAAAAATTACAAGCAATCTGTCCATTGATTGCTTCCTGGACTGTCTTATCTACTTCATTGGTTCATTATGAAAATTACATGAAATCATTTATATCGAAGTGAAAATAAAGTGTATGAATTAAGATGGTAATGGTTCTCTATTGTCATATTTTCCTTGCTTAGTTTTTTTTGGGTCCATCTATTGGCATATAGCCAAGGTTCTTTTGTTCCCATCCCTTCCCCTGGTTCAGCTCTAGCCTATACCATTCTTACTGTTACTGGAACAGCTGCTTTTTCTTCTTAAGCCAGGATCCACCCTTCCCCTCTTTCAAAGCACAGCTCAGAGCCACCTCCTGTGGAAAAACTTCCCAGTCTTCCAGAAGGAAATGATAAACTTCCAGATAGGTCATTACGCCACCCTTTCAGGTTCCCCTAGTCAGCATGCGTTTAAGTGTCTAGCCTAGCACACAGTAGTGGGCATTTCTGTAGGAGCTTCACTATTTACAAAGCACTTTTGCTTACATCATCATTCTTGAGATGTCCCCACAAATTTGATATAGTAAGCTTTTTTTTTAATGAAGAAATTAAGGACAAATGACTTCCTCATGGCAAGTGATTAAAAAGAGGGAAACAGTTGAAGATGTGGTCATGCCACTTACTAGTACAGTAGTCCCCCATTACCCATGCGGGATACATTTCAAGACCCCCACTGGATGCCTGAAACCACGGATAGTACCAAACCCTATATATGCTGGTTTTTCCTATACAGACGTACCTATGATAAAGTTTGATTTATAAATTTGAGCTGGTTAGGTGAGGGTTTTTTTTATTCCTTGTTGGTTTAGAACCTTGATTTTTATACGAATAAAATCGTTCTTGTACTGGTAAAATAAAATTACTTGCCTCTCAACCCCGACCCCAGAAAGATATATTCAGAAATCCAGCCTATTCCATTAAATGTTAGGGGGGAAAAAAAGATAAAAAATCAATTAGGAAAAATTAAGAGATTAACAACTATAATAATAAAACAACAATTACAACAACATACTATAATAAAAGTTATGTGCATGCGGTCTACCTCAAAATCTTACTATATTCACCCTTCTTGTGATGAGATGAAGTGAATGACATAGGTATTGTGATCTAGCATTAGGCTACTACTGACCTGACAATAGTGAGGAGGATCATCTTGTTTCCGGAGGGCAGTTGACCACCGTGGGTAGCTATGGAAAGCAAAACCCTGGATAAGGCAGGGAATACTGTACTAACCTCACAAGGTTGTTGCAAGGATTGTATTAGACAACGTGTGACGGTAGTTCTTATGAAAACTGAATCAGACCTCAATACCTCCTATTCAAGAAAACCCTGACAGCCTACTCTAGGTCAAGTTCCCATTATGTGCTCACAACAGGTGCTTCTCTTGCCAGCACTCTTCTCAGCGGTAATATTACAGTAATATGTATGATGATTTTATTGTCTTCTCTCTCTACACTGAGCTCTATCAGAATAGTGATGTCTGTTTTGCCCTCCATATTATCTCCTGCCCCTAATACAATGTGTGTCACCCAAAAGTTCAATTTTGTTGGAGAAATGCATGATAACTGAAATCCAAATTTTTTTATTCACTCTAGATTTGACTCTTAGGCTGGAACAAAAAGGTTACAGTGATGCGGGGGAAGACAGAACAGAGGTAATGCGGGTGTTACTCCTGAAATAAAAGGCTAAATTTTAAAGGACTAAAGAACGCTGCACAGAGATCGTGGAACTTGAGCCTGGGAGGACACCACTGCCAGAGAAGGTAACCACCACTGAGGATACACAGGCAAAACGACCGTTCTTGCCTAAAACACCCAGGTCGCGGGCAAAACGACCGCTCTTGCTTGAAACACCCAAATCGCAGTTCTGTCGCTCTCTTCCGTACGATGACCCAAGATGGCGGTGCCCATGGTTGAAAACCAGATTCAAGATGGCGGCTTCCGGCTTCCCCCGCAGCGTCGCGCGTCCTCACCGAGGCCACGCCCACTTCCGGCTTCTCGTCCCTGGCATGGCTGTATTAGGTTGTCTCCTCTCTAGTAAGTAGGTGTAGGGTCGGTGGGCTCGGGGGCCCGTGGCGCCGCGCCCAGGACCCCTGAGGTGGCCCATGGCCTCTCTCCCAACCCTCTGTCCTGTTTTCCCAGCAGGTGTCCGAAGGCTGCACTGCAGCGCGGCGTCCCTGGCCGGCGGCCAGTGGCGACTCCAGTGAGTGCCAGCCTCGGGGGGAAAAGGGGAGCTAGAAGCTGGGCAGTTTTCCAGCTAGAAGCTGTCTTCACCGGATTGTTTTTCCCCACCCAGGCAGGGTCTGGCTGCCAACCCCTCCGGCTACGGGCCTCTTTCGGAGCTCCCAGACTGGTCTTACGCGGGTGAGCGGTGACCGGACAGTTAACTCTACTAGGAGGTTTTCATCCCGAGGGAACGCCCCTGAATGGAGCTGGGTGGTGTCAAGGCGGGGCGGAGAGGGGTGCGTCAGAGTGGACCGCGTATAAAACTTCGGAGCTGGGGAGGAAGAAGCCCTATTTATTTTGTAAATTAATTTACGCCTATGGAAACTAAAGCTAGACAGCATCTCCTTGGCTTGTGGGGATAATCAGAAGGTAATTGTAAAACTCGGCCTCGGCTCTCCCCGGCCCGGGCTTCACGTTGTCCCTGCCGTTTGCTTTTTAGTTCCCTCTCTCGTGCTCGCCCTCTGGGCCCCGGGTTCTGTGCTTGCGGCCCTAAGATCTCGCCTTACCAAACAGCGATCTAGCTCTCACCTAGGGGACGAGGGCCCCACCCGGCGTCCCTTCCGTTCCCTCTACCTGGCCAAACAGTCCCCGCCCCCTCCCCGGGATCCAGGAAGGGCCGGAGGGTTATGGTGGGTGTAGACAAAGGTTTGAGAACGGAGCAGCCCCACAACCCACTCCCCTGCCCTCTCCTCGCTCAGGCACAGTTCGCTGCCCTGGGAAATGAAAATGACCGCGGCTACCGGCTACCCTTGGACGCGTCCTCCGCCCCAGCAATGCTTAGCTTCCTCTTCCCTCCCTCCCAATCCAGCTCGAGCTGGCTGCCCGACGGGGGTCTGGGCGAGGGCCCTGAACCCTGGCAACCCCGCCTCCAGTCCCGAGACTTTCAACTGACACTCGGAAGGGCCTCTGGACTGCATAGCCCCGCCGCCAGGGAAGGGGGTCTCCCGGAAGGGCGTTTCAGCTCCCCGCCCCCTCGGGGAAGCCGTTTCATCAACTTCCAGATCCCGAAGTGGTCTCTTCCAGGCTGCGAAGGTGTCGGGCAATAGAGCCGCCGCCAGGAGGCAGCACTTAACAAAAAATGCCGCGCTGAGGGTGCCCCGAAGCTGGGATCCCCAAAGCACTTTGTGGATTCTAAAGAATCTTAGCAGCAGCGTGGACCCAACAAGAGAGAGTTGCTGGGCTAGTTCAAGAAAAGTGATCTGGAAATGTTTCACCACGTTTTAATGCTAAAAGATAACTTGTAAACAATACAATGTACTTTTGTGTACCTTTTGAATAATCCAGCTTTGGCCATTGCCACTCTGCAGAGATTCATAGAGACCCACCACCTTCGAGACCGGTCTGGTGGAAAGACACACAGCTTTAACAGACTTCCCAGCTGGCAGGCAAGACAAAAAAAGTATAGCTCAGGGTTATAATAAACCCATTATCTAACACAGAATTTAGCCAGGACTGATTTAGTAGGAATTTGACAGCCATGGAAAAATTAAAGGAATGTGTTACAATAAATTATGTAAGTAATAAGGAAATAATACTGAAAGCAAAGTATTGTGTGAGAGCAGTTTATAGCTTTCAGTTCCCACACTTGTAGCACGTGACACTGATTTGATTGTTGAGCTGTCTCAAGGAGGACGATAATGAAGGAATGTGAAATAAGACACTTCCCAAATCAAATCTTTTACTCTTCTTCAACCTTAGAATTTAGTAACAAGCATGCAAAAAGGGGAAGAGGCTGCAAAATGAGATGGAATTGGCCACCCCAAACCAGCTTCACTTACATTTTCCCCAATGTCATTATTCATCACAAGGGTTAAAAAAGCACCTAATTACCCAGAGCAGAATACAAAAATTACTCTGTACAGGTCTGACAGAAGGATATTCAAATAACATACTGGACAAAAATATGAGTAGATAATAAACTATTAAAGCTAAATACAGGCCACAATGCCATGGAGAAGCATAAGGGTTTAAGTAAGTGAAGAAAGATGTGAAGCTCAGATACCTGATGCTTCGCATTGTTCTTAACTCTAGCCTTTGTTAGATGAAGTCCAGAAGTTGAAAGACATCGAGTTTAGGATGACGAAGCCACCTTTCTGTGTCTTATGAGTCTGAAGTCATTGAGGAAAGCTGTTCATGTACCAGACCCCCTCCCCTGCATGTTTTCCATGAGGTTTCTGAGAATGCTGCTGCAGTTAGATGTCAGCACTAATGTTCTCTTTCTCTCTCAAAATCCTAATCCATATTTCCTGCGATTTACAACCCATGAGTTGTCCCCCTGCCACATCACACTAACCATGTCAAAGCCTGAACTTGTCTTCCTTCCAAAGACCTTTCCCCTCCCACATCACCCAGTTTTCCTGATCAAACTTCCCATCCTGCCGCCAGAGCCCAGGGCTTATTGCCTGTGTTCACTTCTGCATATGGAATTCATATTGTCCACACTATTTGTTTATCTTAATGCATGTGCCCTTTTTATGATCTTTTTCAAACCCTAATATGTGAGCTACTAGGAATGTTGCTGGTTCAATTCCTTTATATAGTGTTGGTGGTAGTGCCAGCCAGTCATCTTTCCTGTCAGTCTTGAATGTTGGTTGGCATTGGGGTTATTTTTCTAGCCCTGAGTTTCCAGTACTAGATTCCCCACTATAAACTATGTAATGGGATTCCAGTGCTGTCTACTTCAGCTATCTTAGAACCAGCTAGACACATGGAACCAGGCTTGGAAAAGGTGTCATTAAATCACAACTGTAAAACAATAAATCCAAAGCCACATTTTGGTTCAATTTCCTGACCTCGAAAAATTACAAGCAATCTGTCCATTGATTGCTTCCTGGACTGTCTTATCTACTTCATTGGTTCATTATGAAAATTACATGAAATCATTTATATCGAAGTGAAAATAAAGTGTATGAATTAAGATGGTAATGGTTCTCTATTGTCATATTTTCCTTGCTTAGTTTTTTTTGGGTCCATCTATTGGCATATAGCCAAGGTTCTTTTGTTCCCATCCCTTCCCCTGGTTCAGCTCTAGCCTATACCATTCTTACTGTTACTGGAACAGCTGCTTTTTCTTCTTAAGCCAGGATCCACCCTTCCCCTCTTTCAAAGCACAGCTCAGAGCCACCTCCTGTGGAAAAACTTCCCAGTCTTCCAGAAGGAAATGATAAACTTCCAGATAGGTCATTACGCCACCCTTTCAGGTTCCCCTAGTCAGCATGCGTTTAAGTGTCTAGCCTAGCACACAGTAGTGGGCATTTCTGTAGGAGCTTCACTATTTACAAAGCACTTTTGCTTACATCATCATTCTTGAGATGTCCCCACAAATTTGATATAGTAAGCTTTTTTTTTAATGAAGAAATTAAGGACAAATGACTTCCTCATGGCAAGTGATTAAAAAGAGGGAAACAGTTGAAGATGTGGTCATGCCACTTACTAGTACAGTAGTCCCCCATTACCCATGCGGGATACATTTCAAGACCCCCACTGGATGCCTGAAACCACGGATAGTACCAAACCCTATATATGCTGGTTTTTCCTATACAGACGTACCTATGATAAAGTTTGATTTATAAATTTGAGCTGGTTAGGTGAGGGTTTTTTTTATTCCTTGTTGGTTTAGAACCTTGATTTTTATACGAATAAAATCGTTCTTGTACTGGTAAAATAAAATTACTTGCCTCTCAACCCCGACCCCAGAAAGATATATTCAGAAATCCAGCCTATTCCATTAAATGTTAGGGGGGAAAAAAAGATAAAAAATCAATTAGGAAAAATTAAGAGATTAACAACTATAATAATAAAACAACAATTACAACAACATACTATAATAAAAGTTATGTGCATGCGGTCTACCTCAAAATCTTACTATATTCACCCTTCTTGTGATGAGATGAAGTGAATGACATAGGTATTGTGATCTAGCATTAGGCTACTACTGACCTGACAATAGTGAGGAGGATCATCTTGTTTCCGGAGGGCAGTTGACCACCGTGGGTAGCTATGGAAAGCAAAACCCTGGATAAGGCAGGGAATACTGTACTAACCTCACAAGGTTGTTGCAAGGATTGTATTAGACAACGTGTGACGGTAGTTCTTATGAAAACTGAATCAGACCTCAATACCTCCTATTCAAGAAAACCCTGACAGCCTACTCTAGGTCAAGTTCCCATTATGTGCTCACAACAGGTGCTTCTCTTGCCAGCACTCTTCTCAGCGGTAATATTACAGTAATATGTATGATGATTTTATTGTCTTCTCTCTCTACACTGAGCTCTATCAGAATAGTGATGTCTGTTTTGCCCTCCATATTATCTCCTGCCCCTAATACAATGTGTGTCACCCAAAAGTTCAATTTTGTTGGAGAAATGCATGATAACTGAAATCCAAATTTTTTTATTCACTCTAGATTTGACTCTTAGGCTGGAACAAAAAGGTTACAGTGATGCGGGGGAAGACAGAACAGAGGTAATGCGGGTGTTACTCCTGAAATAAAAGGCTAAATTTTAAAGGACTAAAGAACGCTGCACAGAGATCGTGGAACTTGAGCCTGGGAGGACACCACTGCCAGAGAAGGTAACCACCACTGAGGATACACAGGCAAAACGACCGTTCTTGCCTAAAACACCCAGGTCGCGGGCAAAACGACCGCTCTTGCTTGAAACACCCAAATCGCAGTTCTGTCGCTCTCTTCCGTACGATGACCCAAGATGGCGGTGCCCATGGTTGAAAACCAGATTCAAGATGGCGGCTTCCGGCTTCCCCCGCAGCGTCGCGCGTCCTCACCGAGGCCACGCCCACTTCCGGCTTCTCGTCCCTGGCATGGCTGTATTAGGTTGTCTCCTCTCTAGTAAGTAGGTGTAGGGTCGGTGGGCTCGGGGGCCCGTGGCGCCGCGCCCAGGACCCCTGAGGTGGCCCATGGCCTCTCTCCCAACCCTCTGTCCTGTTTTCCCAGCAGGTGTCCGAAGGCTGCACTGCAGCGCGGCGTCCCTGGCCGGCGGCCAGTGGCGACTCCAGTGAGTGCCAGCCTCGGGGGGAAAAGGGGAGCTAGAAGCTGGGCAGTTTTCCAGCTAGAAGCTGTCTTCACCGGATTGTTTTTCCCCACCCAGGCAGGGTCTGGCTGCCAACCCCTCCGGCTACGGGCCTCTTTCGGAGCTCCCAGACTGGTCTTACGCGGGTGAGCGGTGACCGGACAGTTAACTCTACTAGGAGGTTTTCATCCCGAGGGAACGCCCCTGAATGGAGCTGGGTGGTGTCAAGGCGGGGCGGAGAGGGGTGCGTCAGAGTGGACCGCGTATAAAACTTCGGAGCTGGGGAGGAAGAAGCCCTATTTATTTTGTAAATTAATTTACGCCTATGGAAACTAAAGCTAGACAGCATCTCCTTGGCTTGTGGGGATAATCAGAAGGTAATTGTAACTGGGGGCACCTCCGGGGAAGGAGTGACAAGACTTTTACGTTTCTAAAAGGGGGACGGTTTTTTGAAAGTTAGGAAGAACCACCCTTCTGTGTGGCGAGTACATTATTGAGAATTTGTTACCAAATGCAGTGAGAACTCTTTGAAAGGCTCCTAAATGAGCGTCTCAGAGAGAGGGGTAGAAGGGTAAGGATTGAGGATGGTGGACTCCCTCAGAAAAGCCTCTTCCCTTAAAAAAGAAAAGAAAATAGATATTAGTACTAAAGGGAGGGATCTTGGAAAACTTGAATCCGTTCCCCATTCTCCATATGGAACTCGAGTTTACAGGTGGGAAAATTGGGGCCCACAGAAGTGAACTGCCTGTGATTACACAGCTAGGTAATAGCAAGCCAGGACTAGAACTGGACAGAGGGCCAGCCCCCACCTTAAACAGCTCAGAGACCTGAGTATTAATACTTTATCGCATTCTGTAGGAGTATGATCTTGCTTAATCCAATCCTTGGTGTCTGAGGAAAATAGTAAAGATTTTTTCTACTCATTATTTACTATAGAAACTCCTTGAAGTAGTGTGGAATATTGGCAAGACTCTGGAATAGAGCCTTAATCCAGGCTTCTCTACTTGCTAACTTTGTGGTCTGGGACATGTTACTTAATTTTATATCTCAGTTTCCACATCTATAAAAGAGGAATACCTATCTCACATGGTGCTTGTAATGATAAAGTGAAATAACCATTGTAAAGCACCTGGCCATACACAATATTGGCTCCCCTTCCTAATAAATCATATCTCTTACCTGTCTTGCCTGCAAACTTTTGGGCAGAGTTATCACTCTTTCAGTCTTTGTACAAAGTAAGTGTCTAAGTGTCCTTTCTCTTCAACTTTATTATAAACTACTTCAGTTCAGATAATGCATCTTTTCAGCAAGTCACCTGATAGTTATGGAATTTTTATGTGCCTGCACTGTACATAATAACTGAAATATGGAGATACAGTCCCTGATTCCAAGGAATTTCAAGTCTAAATGGGAAAACAAAGCATGGACATTTTAAAAATTAAATAAAACTTCAGTGCTCTGCCCCTTTCCAGAAGGATATGAGATGGCTAAATGAGGCTAAAAACAATAGTACAATAAACATCCCAAGGCAAATAGATGAATATTAAATGGTCATACGCACTTTCAGAAGAGAGAGCTGGCCAACTTGAAGTTAGAGAAGAGTTTCTGAGACAAGCAGGGCTTGAGGTGGGCCTAAGGATGAGAATTGGGCCAGAAGGAAAGGAAAAGAGGGCATTTCGTTATGGAGTGAGATGGAATTTAGCAAAGACTCAGGGGCCAGTAGAACAGTGGTCAGACTGCTTGAGTAGAGGGTTTCTGAGGAAAAAACAGGAGATTCAGCATTGTAGAGGACTTTGACTTCCAGGCTTAATGAGAGGTAAGTGAAATAGAGTAGGAACATGCCTAGGAACTTAGTCTTGGTGGTTCTGGCATACATCACTCTTGAAGATGAGGGACATGTTTTAGGAGAATGAAGCTACAGAGGGTGTGAAATGGAAGAGAGGAACTAGAGATTGGTTCTTCCTGCATTCCTATCACAATGCTTTCACAAGGTGCTGCAAGCCATCTCTAATACTTTCCTTTTCTCTCACTTTTATCTGTAGATGGCCGCCCTGCACCTCCTATGAAGGGCCAGCTTCGAAGAAAAGTCCAAAGGGAGAAGTTTGCAGTGAGTGGTTAGAGCCCCATCAAGGGAAACCTATGTATAATTGGAAGGAAAAAATGTAAATTGTAATTTGTCTTGAGCTGTGTTGGTACCTAAGCTAACATTACCTTTCATCTCATACCAGGTTTTTAATAGTACTGGGAGAAGGGAGGACTAGAATGGGGTCCTTCTAGGGCAGAAACCAGCAGTAGACATTCTGCCATACATTTTGCTGCCTTCCTCCTGCTTCCCAGCCCAGGACCTGATCCTGCCCCTTCACAGTCAGCAGTGTCATTTTCCAGCTGAAACGTCTGACTTTGATCTGTCAGTGAAAGGATATATGGTGCAGAGCTCAAGCCCCAGATGTTATCCTGTGTTTCAGAGACGAGTTGTACTGCTGTCACAGGAAATGGATGCTGGATTACAGGCATGGCAGCTCAGGCAGCAGGAGAAGTTTCAGGAAGAAGAAAGGAAACAGAATAATGCTCTTAAATCCAAAGGGGCTCTGCTGCGGAACCCACTACAACATCAGTAAAAAGCATCTCCTGTCTTCCTTCCCCAGCCTCTCTCTGGCTTTACTTTCACCTAGATGCCTCATCCCAGGCAGAAGTGAGCCTTTATGTTCCCCATCTGTCTTCAGAGCAAAAGAGCTTGGATACCAGGAAGAACAGGCTATAAAATAAGATCACTGCTTGGAAGGGCTGGCTCATTGCCCTCACCTCTGGCTCCATTCCAGTTTAGCAGCATCTCACTCTGGGATATTTACCTGCTCCTCTGCAGGCCATGGAACACCCAACTGTGAGCAGTATCTGCCCTGCAAACATGGAAAGAGGCAGCAGTTTCCCTGGATTTAGCCAGGCATTCAAGCCTTGAACAGTCCTAACAGCCCATGCACAGCTCAGACTGTGTGTACATTTAATAAATGTTTTGATTTTTTAAAAAGGCTTCCCAATTTGAGATCCATTTCTTGGGCAGCAACTGGTATCAGTTTTCCTAAACTTAAGATACTCGGCCCAAAGAGGATATCCCCACCGGGAAGGCAGACATGGGAAGAGCCAAACTTGGGTGTTGGATATTCTGCTAAAATGTGGGCTCCTGAGGTTACTGTGGTTCTGACTGAATTCCAGAGGTTGGTTGGAGAGAGGTCTGTACCTCCCCACTGCAATTTGTATAGGGAAACCCTGGAGGTGCACAGTACAAATAGTCACTGTGGGATAGGTATCTAATATCCACTCTTTACTTCCTACAGACCCATAAACTGCCCGGGGTGCGGGGGAAACCTTTCAGTTAATTGATAATGGCTTCTCTCATGGGTTCTGGAAGAAGAGGCTCTTGGCTCCCTTTACGATACAGAGCATGGACTTACATTCTCTTCGGTGATAGTTCTTAGATCTCTAGACAATTTCTAGAGCTTCTTACCTGACCGCATTTCTGTCCAGCCTCCTTTATTCCTTCCCTTGCTATATTTCTCTACCTTCTTCCCCCTACTCCTCCTCCTCCTCTCGCTGACCAGTGCAATTCTTGGATCTTAGATTTCGCTGATGGTCGAGTTTTCTGTCTCCCACACTTTTCCTGCCTCTGTGGTGCTGATTTTCTAGCTCTAGTTCTCAGCTTCTTATCTGTCTCCCTTTCCCACTAGAATGCTTTAGTGCTCCCTCCCCTTCTCTGCTTACCTCCACCTTTTGTTCTGAATAGTCCCTGAAGGAGAATTTACTCTTTAAGGAATTGCGTTCTTTCCCAGTGTAGAGGAGGAATGAAACCTGAAGTCCTAACTCCCAATCTCTCTTTTAGAATCATTTCACCAAACCTTATCAGCCTTTTCCCAGATTCCATGGCCTTGCAGGCCTTTCCTCCCCAGCCAGTTCTGATTAAAGGAGCAGCCAGACCACAAATACCAATCATAAAGGGAATACATTTGTCCTCCAAGGACAGGACTCCCATATTCAGTGTGGCTGTGGGACTTGTTGGCGGGTGGCTGGATTTTGTTACTGTTGCAGGCGTCTTTGGCCGGGTGGGATGGAGGAGGTCGTAAAGAATAAAGGATGAAATTTTCAATTTGGTTGAGCCACAGGTCCCAGCAAAGAACCCCCCAACCCACCTCTCAATGACATGAAGGACCCACCACCACCATCTGAGGCTCTGAGCCTGTTCTCCCTTAGCCACTGGGCCTCTCAATGCTTCCCACTCTGAGGTGAGGTAACGCTAAATACCAAAGGAATCAAGCCACCCAAATATGCTTTGGGGGAGAGAGTCTCCCACATACCGTCCCAGGGGTTCCCATGCAGCACCCCCCCCACCCCCACCCCCGCCCTCGGCTATGGCCTCAACCCCTGCAGATGGCAGCCTCCACCGCAGAAAGACAACTTAGGGATTTTTTTTTTTATTTTTTTTTTTTTTTTAAACAACCACGTCCGCACAGAGAAAGGAGGGCTTTGGGGCGGGGGCGGAGGAGCGGCTGTGGGAGAAGGGAGGGACCAGAGGAGAGGGCTCGAGATCCAGTTCGCCGACTAAGCAGAAGAAATCGACGGAAAAGGGGACGAGCGAAGGGGCGCTTGCAGGAACAATCCCCTCCTTCCTAAGCGTACAGCGCTCTAGGAATCCAAATTCAGTGGCCACCGAAGACAAAGGAGCCCCAAGGGAGTGGCGGAGCGACCCCAGGGCTCGGGTCCCGCCGCGGAGCCCGCACGGCCCGGCTACCCGGACGGCCGCGGACCATGCCTCCCGCCCCGCCGCCCTCGCGCAGCCTGCTGCTCCTCCTGCTCTCGCTCGCCGCAGCGCTCACGTCCCTCAGCTCGGCCCAAAGCAGCTTCAGCCCCGAAGTAAGTGAGCTCCGCCGGCCCCGGCCGGAGTCGCGCCTGCCGAGGAGGCGAGCCCGGGGGTCTCCCGGAGGACAGCCCCCATGCGGAGAGGAGGGCTCTAGGGGCTCCGCTGCTCCGGCCTACGGGATCCCGCCCCCTGGCCTTCGCTCCTCATCTCCAAACTTCCCAGTCCAACTTTTGCCTCCTCCACCCGCCGCCCCCCACCCGCCGCCGACTCTCTTTCCCATCTCCTTAGAAGATAACATATCTGAGGCCCACCACCACCCCGTACCACAGTTCCCTTGGGCTGAGCTCAGCTTTGGAACCAGTTGGGAGCCTGATAAATACTTGGACTGCGCACAGACCCCGCGCTGTCCTGGTTTCTTGTCATGGGCCAGTTTGTTGTCTCCAACTTCCCGGCTCTCCAGCGCTCTCCCGCCCGCGCACGCCGACGCCGGGGCTGCAGGGCGGGCTCGGTGGACCGCGCGGCAGCACCAGGGCCCCACGCTGGGGCGCCGCTGCGGCCTCCCGGGCGGCCCCGGCCCTCCGCGGCAAGGTGCGGTCGCGGGTGGACGGCAGAGCGGCCCGGCCCCCGCCTCCCCGACGGGAGCCTTCTGTGCCCGCGCGTACGCACACACAAAGCTTTCCTTGTGAGCCGGAGGCTCGGCCCGACCTCCGCGGCGCCTTTAGGCTCTGGACGTTGTTTTCTGTTAATTACTTTTATGTGTTAATTGCAGGGAGACTGGGCGTCGCACAGGGGAGTGGGGAAAGAGACTGGCCCAGGGTCCCCGCACATGTCGCGACTGACTCGAGCGCCCCCCACCCATTCCCCAACGCTGGCCCACGGGGCCGGCAGGAAGCCGCGTGGGAGTTGTCTGAGGAAGTTTTTCCTCACTCGCGCTCTTTTATTTTGGGGTGAAGGTGGGAGACGGATTTGATCAGCTGCCTTTTTCGAGCCATCCCAACCCACTCAGCCGGGCAAGGGCCTGGGTGTGGTCAAGGGCCTGGGTGCGGTAGGGAGGGGCCAGGAAGGGTCCCAGGAGGGGGAGGGGATCTGGATTTGGCTTCCTCCCGCTTGGTCCCACCCCCGAAGGAAACATCTCCAGAAAGAACACGCCCTCTGTCCTCAAGGCATCTGAAGCTGAAAGAAAAAGTGAGGTGCAGGGACTAGGGGTGACCAGGGAGAAAGAAAATCTGGCCTGGGGCCAAGCCTCACGGTCCAAGAGGAGGAGGAGGCATCCTCTTTCCAGGCATGGGGTCTGAGGCCTGCAAGGAGCAATCCCAACAAAAGCAGCCCTGGACATCTGGGTGCTGTCTACTGCCAACTTTGCTGCCCTGCCTGCCTTCTCGCCCCTGCCTCACTAGATCCCCTAGGGGAGGGGTGGCAGCCCGGCTCTGTTTAAAGTGGGTCATGGGCAGTCCTGGTGCCAGAACCACCCTTTGCTTTCTGGGCCATGATTGGGTGGGAGGCACTGGTAGGGAAGAGGAGGCCCAGAGGCTGGGATCCAGTGCCTGCTGGAGAGCCAGAGATACTCCCCACCCTCCATAGGACTTCAGGGCCAGAGGTAGGTGGGGTTCCTTTGCCTTTTCCTTAGGGGAATACCTTGCACCACACAGTTTTCAAGACAAAGCCAGCCGATTCAGTTCTTTGACCCAACATAGTTGCTCCCTCTCCAAGCCAATCTGGAGGGAGAGCTGGGGTGGCCTAGGCCTCAGGCAGCCTGGTCCCTCCCACCAGGCCTCCAGAGTCCTGCACCAACTCCAGGACAGCCCTCTCCTCCTGTAGGCCTGTCTGGCACTTGGCCCTTCCCCCATCCAGCCGCAGACACAAGAGTCCTCTCTTCTGTGGTTCCCAACTCACCTCATAGACTTCTCTGTTGTGGTTCTTGCTTTGCTCAGTGCCTAGGACTGTGAGGAGAGAGATGGAGTACTTCCTTTCCAGACCTGTAGCTCTTTTGATGCCAGGGCAGTCCCTCTCTGGACTGAGTCTCCATTTTTCTCAATTGCTCATGGGATGGAGGTTGTGGATCTGAATATTTAGATCAGCCTGCTTTCTTGAAAACTCTGGGAGAAAGATTTATCCCAGAGCTCCTGGATGGTGAATCTCCCCTCCTCTCTGCTATTCTCCATTCCCCCATCCTGCCTGGGAGGATTCCCTTCAGCTTTGCTCCCTGAGGGTTGAGGGGGGGCCTGACCTCAGTCCTCCTGACTTGTCACTCCAGGAGTAGACCACTCCCATCCTTCCCCAAAGCTGAAGCAGCTGCTCCTCATTCAGGGGTCATAAGCCTGCAGCGTGTGTACCTTCCAGGGGAGGCTAAGGGCAAAGGGAGTTTCATGCATACTTGGGCACAGGCCACAGCAGGCCTCCCGTAGGCACTTAGCTGTGGCATCAGCCAGCACAGGTCAGGACAAGCCGACCGCACCTAGGAAGAGCAGCCCAATACTGGAGCACTGTTCTGCTCTCCTCTGGTATGCCAAAGGTTAAACCTCTCTCCCTCTTCTACCCCTGAGGAGGGGCTCTCAGAGCCAGGGTGGTGCTAGGGTTGTTCTGGCCAGGCTTGTTGGCTGGGAAAAGGCTGAGTTGTTTACATCTCATGCTCTACCTCCCATCAGCCTTGGGGGATCACTTCCCAAACCATGTTGCAATTCTTGCCCCTGCGGGCTCCAGTCCCTGTCAGCTGCTCCTGAATCACCCCTAGCCCCAATGCAGGAGCGCTGCTCCACCACCAGGACCTAGACCTGGAAGGGCCACATGGAGATCCATCTGAATGACCTGGAATAGGAAATGCGGCACCCAACAGCAGCCTCTACCCCTTTGCACTCCAAGCTCCCATCCCAGGCAACCTGCATCTCCCTCTGGTCTCCTTAAGGCAAAGCTAGAGCAAGGACCAGAGCTGTCTGGGTGGTATCTCCACTGGAGAATCATTTTCATCTTCACATTCATATTTCGTATGTAATGGCTCATTTTAATTTTCAGGCCAGGAAAATATTCCATTACAATAAAGGCTGACTTCTTCCTTGACAGGACTTTGCAGTGGGTATACCTTTCAAACACCAATAACCTGACTTGACTTGAAGGCAATATGCCAGGCTTTATATTATGAACAATCTGCAACATACCAAAATAAAATACCACCAGCAACTTTCCACCACAACTACTATCTCCCACTCCCTCTACTGAGAACCTAAAATGGGCCTTTAGGTCCCAAGCCCTAGGTTAGATGCTTGAATGGATGGGGATAGTGGCAGGATTGTGGCTCTGTGGCTAGGTCACACCCCCACCACCTCCAGAGGCCCCAGCATCCCCTCTCAACAGCCAGCCTCACCCCTAGCTCCTTTTCTGCCCTCCTTTCTAAAAATATCTCAGCCGTGAGGGGCCTAGAGGCATGGCATCCCTGTCCTAGGAGGGGCCTCATGCCCACCAGAAGTAAAGTGCCCTCCACACACACATGCTCAGGTAGGACATGCTACATTTACAAAAATACCGATACAGAGGACAAAAGTGCTAGAAGGAATCTCAGCCTGAGAAAACAACCTAGGACTAAATTAAACCACCTGGGCTCCCATCCTCAAGAGAACTACAGCCGAAGTCCAGAGCTGTTTGAGTCCAGCCCCAAGAGGACAGGCCATCCTGGGACCTGGGCCAGAGTTTGGGTCTAGCCTAGGAGTTCCTCCAGACTCACTACCAGAGCCAGGCTGGGAACTCATTGCCATTTCCTCCCAAGCCAGATACCATGAGGAGGCAGAGGCTCCCCTTGGGCCAGGTGGAGATGTTCCAAGCATTCCTTCCCCTACAGGCCTGGCTGCAGCAATATGGCTACCTGCCCCCTGGGGACCTGCGTACCCACACACAGCGCTCACCCCAGTCACTCTCAGCTGCCATCGCTGCCATGCAGAGGTTCTATGGTCTGCGAGTGACAGGCAAGGCTGATGCAGACACCATGAAGTAAGTGCTAGACCCTGGCAGGAACTCTGCCTAGTGCCCACTGATGTAACACTGAGCCCCAGAGAGGTTCTACCTAAATGCCTGACTCCTGCCCACATGTGGATCCTGACCCTCTCCTATTCACCCTGACCTCATAATCATGACCCTCCCCACCACTACACTGGGGCCAGACATTCCCCCTCTCCTTGAAGACTTTTCTCTTGAAGCTATCCTGACCGCAGTACTCACACCCCAGGGCTATGAGACGCCCCCGCTGTGGTGTTCCAGACAAGTTTGGGGCTGAGATCAAGGCCAATGTTCGAAGGAAGCGCTATGCCATCCAGGGCCTCAAATGGCAGCACAGTGAGATCACTTTCTGGTGAGTGTAACAGGCAAGTAGCCTTCCTGATGTCTGACCTACCCTGTTAGTTGTGCTTACGGAGCCTCAGAGGCCTCCTGTCCTGCTCAGTCACCTCTGTCCCTGGGAAGCGTACTTGGGAGTGGGGAGGAAAATGGCTATAATTCTGGGGAGAGGTGCAGCCTGCAGTGGGTAGGGGTACACACCAGGGACAGAAAGCCAAAGCCTGAGGGTGCCTGGAGCACACCATTTTTGGGGCAGAGGCATTGTGAGGCACGGTCAGGCAGGCAGTTCATTCAGACCTGGGAGAGAGCAGGGAAGGAGAATTTTGTCCCTTGTTATCCTAACCCACCCCTATCCTCTCCCCATGTGGCTGGACCTCAGCATCCAGAATTACACCCCCAAGGTGGGTGAGTATGCCACATTTGAGGCCATTCGCAAGGCATTCCGAGTGTGGGAGAGTGCCACACCACTGCGCTTCCGAGAGGTCCCCTATGCCTACATCCGCGAGGGCCGTGAGAAGCAGGCCGACATCATGATCTTCTTTGCTGAGGGCTTCCATGGTGACAGCACACCTTTTGATGGCGAGGGTGGCTTCCTGGCACACGCCTACTTCCCAGGCCCCAACATTGGAGGAGACACCCACTTTGACTCTGCTGAGCCCTGGACTGTCCGGAATGAGGATCTAAATGGTGAGCGAGGTAGCCCGGGCACTCTTATTCCAAGGAGAGTCAACGATCATTTGTGGGGGCTTCTCCTGTCTCCTCTCAAATACTCAAACCCCAAAATCCCAGGGCTCTGAGGATTGCAAATACCTACCAGTCTGATGTCTATGGAGAAAGCACAAATGCTGTTTTGAGCTATGTGCATCTGCTCCCTTCTCACCCCACAGTTGACAAAGCATCCACTTTTCTAGGCAAATGTCATCTCCAGCTACTGGGGGGAACTGAGGCTTACGGAGGGATTCAGCTTTTCTTAACACAAGTCTACCTAGGATTGGGATCCAACCCCAGAGCACTGTCTCACCTCTACCCAGAAGAGCTTGCTGACTGGCTCTGTGGCCTTTTGGGTGGAAAACATGGCAGGCAGGCTTGGATGTGAAACTGAAGCCCCGGGTGGGGCAACCGGGAGTCCAGAGGTGACCCAAACTGCGGCATTACCATCCTGTCCCTCCAGGGAATGACATCTTCCTGGTGGCTGTGCATGAGCTGGGCCATGCCCTGGGCCTTGAGCATTCCAATGACCCCTCGGCCATTATGGCGCCCTTTTACCAGTGGATGGACACAGAGAACTTTGTGCTGCCTGATGATGACCGCCGGGGCATCCAGCAACTTTATGGCAAGTAATAGATGCCCACATCTGCTCCTTTCTGTCTGCTGCTTCTCCCCTCCGGTGCATTCTCTGGCCTGTGAGTGTGCGTTTCTTCCCCTCACCCGTGCCCATCCCCAGCCTGATCCTGCCTCTGTCCATTCCCACTTTTGATTCTGGCTTTTCTGTTCTTGCCCAGCCTACTGCTCAGCCTCCCCCAAAGGTCTGTCCACACTTTCCCAAGGGTGTGGTCTGCTCACATATCTGTCCTTTCTTCTGTCTTTGACAAAGTCTAAAGTGGCCCTTTGTTCTCTGCCCCCAGGGAGTGAGTCAGGGTCTCCCACCAAGATGCCCCCTCAACCCAGGACGACATCCAGGCCTTCGGTGCCTGACAAGCCCAAAAACCCCACCTATGGGCCCAACATCTGTGATGGGAACTTTGACACCGTGGCCATGCTCCGAGGGGAGATGTTTGTCTTTAAGGTGAGAGGAAGAAGTGGGCTGGTTTGGGAACAAAAGAGCTGTATGATTGGGAGGCTGCGTGGAAATAGCAGGGGGGTAAAAAATAAGCGGAGGCAGCAGGGGAGTTTTGGAGAAGGAGCCAGAGGACTGAGCTACAGGACATAACAGACTCCCCCCAACCAACTGCCTTCCAGGAACGCTGGTTCTGGCGGGTGAGGAATAACCAAGTGATGGATGGCTACCCAATGCCCATCGGCCAGTTCTGGCGGGGCCTGCCTGCGTCCGTCAACACTGCCTACGAGAGGAAAGATGGCAAGTTTGTCTTCTTCAAAGGTAACCAGGCATGCCACCTTAGTCTTTGGGTATTTTTGGGAGCAGATTCCACATGACTCCTTCAAACATCCAAGAGTCCAAGTGGAACCCAAATCCTGCCCTTCTCTCTCCACCGCAGGAGATAAGCACTGGGTGTTTGATGAAGCTTCCCTGGAACCTGGCTACCCCAAGCACATTAAGGAGCTGGGCCGAGGACTACCTACTGACAAAATAGATGCTGCTCTCTTCTGGATGCCCAATGGAAAGACCTACTTTTTCCGGGGAAACAAGTAAGACTTTAACCCCTGGGCCCCAGACCTGCCTCCTCAGACACCACCACCAGGCTGCCTCAACTCTAGAGACTCACTTTACTCCTGGGATATTTCCCTAGAGAAGGAGCTGGCTGTGCCTCTGCTGTTGCCTGTCAAGAGGCAGCCTCCATTAGGTGCTGGCTGAATGGGACATGACCCGGTCACCATTTCAGACCTGGTCATTTGGCACCTCCTGCCCCCAGCACCATACCTCCGCCTCAGCAGCCAGGCACTGTCATTAAGGGCTGCTGGTGGCTCCTTGTAGCCTGGGCCCTCCCACCCACCCCCACCTTCCGCCACTTTCAGCTGCAGGCCCTCATTACTCAAAAACCCCTGTCCACAGCCACTCTTTGTTCACTGGTGAATTCAGTCCTGGGTTCCGCTACCCTCTGAGGACGTACGGGGATCCAAACACCTCCTTTCACCTCCCTTCCCACAGGTACTACCGTTTCAATGAGGAGCTCAGGGCAGTGGACAGCGAGTACCCCAAAAACATCAAGGTCTGGGAAGGAATACCAGAGTCTCCTAGAGGGTCATTCATGGGCAGCGATGAAGGTGAGGGGCGAGGGAGGCGTCCCTGAGGGGAGGATGGGCACAGGGAGCTCAGGGAGTGCGGGACAGGAACTGGAGAGTATCATGTGGAAAACCATGCTGATGAGGACAGGAGCCTGGGCCAGGTGCCAGGCACTGAGCTGAGGTCTTCCCATGCAGCAGGCCCCCTAGGCCCCACCACTCTCTAGCCTGCCACTAAAATCACCTTGTTTGGCAGCTGAGGAAGCATTCTCACACACACAACTCACAGATTGTCCTTCTGCTCTTGCCTTCGGGTCTTCTCCGGATCGCTGCCCCCACCTCTCCATCTCTCTTGCCACCTTCTCGCTGACCCCTGCAGTCTTCACTTACTTCTACAAGGGGAACAAATACTGGAAATTCAACAACCAGAAGCTGAAAGTAGAGCCGGGCTACCCCAAGTCAGCCCTTCGGGACTGGATGGGCTGCCCATCAGGTGGCCGGCCAGACGAGGGGCCCGAGGAGAAGACAGAGGTGATCATCATCGAGGTGGATGAGGAGGGCGGCGGGGCAGTGAGCACAGCCGCTATTGTGCTCCCCCTGCTGCTCTTACTCCTGGTGCTGGCCGTAGGCCTTGCGGTCGTTTTCTTCCGACGCCACGGGACCCCCAAGCGACTGCTGTATTGCCAGCGCTCCCTGCTGGACAAGGTCTGACCCCCACTGCCGCCCACCCATCCTACCACAAGGACTTTGCCTCTGAAGGCCAGGGGCAGCAGGTGGTAGTGGGTGGGCTGCTCTCACCCATGCCTGTTCCCTCCCAAACCCCCCACCTCCTCTCTTCTCTGTCCATGACTGACCCCTCCTGCCCTCAATTCTGGCATTGCTTCTTACCTAGATGGGTCCCCTGGGGGCTAGGCAGGGGCCACCCTTTCCAGCCCCTGCCCCTCAGGGGCTCCTGTAGCGTGGTGTGTGTCCAGCCCCATCTGAATGTGTTGGCTCTGCACTTGAAAGCAGGACCCTCAGACCTCGCTGGTAAAGGTCAAATGGGGTCATCTGCTCCATTTCCATTCCCAGACATACCTTTAACCTCTGAACTCTGACCTCAGGAGGCTCTGGGCACTCCAGCCCCGCAAGCCCCCAGGTATACCCAATTGGCAGCCTCCCACCACTCTTTCTGGCTAAAAGGAATCTAATCTTGTGGGGAGAGACTGAGAGGCGTGAGAGGGTGGGGCTGCACAGCCGCCCTAAGACCTTGGGAGGCAGTCTCAGATTGAGTCTGTCCTCTCCACAAACATCTGCTTTTGTCCCACCTGCTCCCAAGAACTTCCTTAGAAGGAGCCTGAGCCACTAAGGACTAAACTGGGGCTGCAGAAACAGGCTGACAGCCCTACCCTCCTGAATGTTAGCTTTGGGTAGGGTTGTCAAGGTTGGAATTGCTGAGACCAGGGGTTCAGCTATGTGGTGGGGTGGGGCCACAGGGAGAGACCAGTCCAGAGCCTAGGGAGTGAGCCTGAAGGCCTCAGAGAAAAGAACCTTGCTCAGATGCAGACAGCTGGGCCCTCCCATCCACCCCCACCTTCCGCCACTTTCAGCTGCAGGCCCTCATTACTCAAAAACCCCTGTCCACAGCCACTCTTTGTTCACTGGTGAATTCAGTCCTGAACCCTCTGAGGACGTACAGGGATCCAAACACCTCCTTTCACCTCCCTTCCCACAGGTACTACCGTTTCAATGAGGAGCTCAGGGCAGTGGACAGCTAGTACCCCAAAAACATCAAGGTCTGGGAAGGAATACCAGAGTCTCCTAGAGGGTCATTCAGAGGGACCCAGGGACAGAGCAGTCAGAAGGGACAGTGAAGGACCAAAGGCTAACCAGGGAGGCGTGGCAGGAGTGGACAGCTGGTGGAGGAGCTCTCAGGAAGAACCCGAGAAAGACACACCTGCTCCTCTGTGGTGCCCTTCCTCTGACCAGACAGCATGGGAGGAGGGTGAGAAGTACAGACAAAGGAGCAGAGATAGCACACACCTGGGGTCTGGTGAATTAGGACCCTAACTGAGAGTGGCCATCTAGTCAGAGAGCCAACTAGCCTGCCTCAGCCAATGCAGTGAGGGGCAGGTGCCTGGGCTTCTCAGCCAGATTGGCCGCTCACTCTCCAATGCCCCCACCTCTCAGGCCATCCTCCCAGCATCCTGTCCCCCTCTCCCCCACCCAGCCCACCCATTTGAAGTCTCCTTCAGCCACTAGAGGTGGTCATGGTACCAGGGACTTGGGAAAGTGAGAGATCCTGAGGGTGAGAGAAGAGGGATGTTGGGGTGGGGGGTTTGGGGGATGGGAGAAATGGGGTGAACGGTGCTGGCAGTCCAGCTAAATTTGTCTTGTTTGGGTTTTTTTGTTTTGTTTAATGTATATTTTTATTATAATTATTATATATGAATTCCCTTCAAATCGTTCCTTTTTGTTAACAAGGGGCATGGGGGGGTGGGGGGCAGAGGCATTGGACCCCAGGAACCTGCAGGGCGGGGCTGGGTCAGTACCCTCTAAGGACATTGTTTACCTTGTTCAACCTTCCCACAAAGAATAAACTGTGTCTCACGTTCTTTGTGTGGCTGCAGTTCTCTTGAGGTCTAGTGGGATGTGACTATGATGGGAATGGGAAGCAGGAGAGTAAGTTCATGAGCAGTGTTGTCTTGCCAACGGGTTTCAGCCCCGGGCAAGTTCACTATGGATTCAATGAGACCAAGGAATGACAATGGAACATTCTTGGGGTGAAGAGGTTTATACCCAACTTTTCCATGGTGTCAGGTCAAGCACTAGAACCCCATCCACTCAGAGTAAGTCTGCATGCAGCAAGCCGGTCTCTGCCTCTGGGCCTCTCCAGCAGCCATCTCAGTCTCTGTCCTCGGCACTGCCACCACCCCAGTCTCTGCTTTCCTGCAGCCATGCCACTGTTGCCCAGAGCACTGGGCAGAACTCTTATAGAGCCAATAACAACGTATTGCCCACGTGTGTAGTGAGCAAGCCAACCAGGGCCAAGTGAGAATCCTGACCATAGGAACCCTCACTTTATCTATACTCCACCCCTCCAGGATTCTTGCCTCTCAAATTTATGTGCCCTCAATCTTCTGCAATGGTTCCTGTGCGAGGAAGCTAGAACACTAACCAAATTCCATAATAATATAATACAATATACAAGTAACAAGTTTCAACAAATGATAGCAACCCTCAAGCCTGAGGAGATCCTTTGCCACCAAGTGGTCATCCTGGCTGTATTCAAACCAGTTTTACTCAAGTGAGTTAACCAAGAGAACCATGGGTGGGCCTTAAACAATACCCACCTTCTCCAGCCTCCAGCAGAAAGTCTTACAGACACACAGGCCTATCTTGTTGCTTTGTCTCTGGCTTCTGCTTCGTCTTCAGTGGCCAGAACCACTGCTCCAGTCTCAATTGTTGCCACAGCTCCAGTAAGAGTCTATTTGACTTTCCATCCAATTTCTGTCTACTCCTGCCTTTATCAAATCAACCCACATCTGTGTCCTTGGAACCTTCACGGGGCCCTTTAAATTATTCCTTTGAATGGCAGATCTTACTTCCTTTTGTGCTTTCATTGCTTGAGCCTAAGGATAGAAGCAGAGCATAGAGAGCTCCACAACCTGGGGAGGGGTCTGCACCTCTCCTGGAGGGATCTTTGGTTGCCGAATCTTTTCCTTCGGCCTTTCCATCAGCTTTCAACCAGGTGGAGTTTCAATGAAGGAGGAGCTGATGCCTCAGGCACTGGCAGGGCCTCCACCTCCCTCCTGTTTGTCAAACCTCCACCCCATTTCTGGGGCTGACAGCTCTACTACATCCTTCACCTGCCCCACAGCACCTGGCAGCCTATGTGTGCTCTTGTGCTGCTTCTCGTGCCACTGATTCTCAATGCCGCTGCTCCTTCTCGTGCTGCTTCCTCTTGGGTTACCATGACATCCATTACCATTTCCACAGCACCTTGTAGTGATGCCATTTTAGCCACCAACAAATTTCTTAGTTCCTAAGTGGCACCTGTCAGCTCATTGTGCTGCCTCTTGTGCTTCCTGAAGGAGGGCGTCTTTCTCCCTTACAGCCTTTCTCAATATTGTGAGAAGAAAACTCCCCACCATTCCCACAGCCTCACGGCACTCTGTTTCTCTAAGGAATTCCCTATTTTGCTGAGGGCTAACTTCACTACTTCAGGTGTTGCCGCCACCCCTTCCCAGTCTTGGAGTGGGGCCCAGTCCTCTTGGAGGCAAGCCACATCGGACCACACATCCACTGGGGGACACTCAAATGTCTCCCCATCCATAGGGGCAGCCCGCTGAAACACTCCTCCCATGAGGGCAGTCTGTTCTTTTCCTTGGTCAACAATGAATCCTGCCAACTATGCCACTTATCTTGCCAATGGGTTTCAGCCCTGGGCAAGTTCACTATGGATTCAATGAGACCAAGGGATGACAGTGAACATTCTTGTGGGTGAAAGGGTTTATACCCAACTTTATTTCCATGGTGGCAGGGCAAGCACTAGAACCCCATCCACTCACAGCAAGTCTGCATGCAGCAAGCTGGTCTCTGCCCCTGGGCCTCTCTGCATCCACAACCATCTCAGTCACTGTCCTTGGCACTACCACCACTCCAGTCTCTGCTTTCCTGCAGCTGTGCAGCCATGCCACCATGTCACCCAGAGCACTGGGCAGAGCTCTTTATATAGAGTCAATAGCAATGTATTGCCCACACGTGTGTAGTGAGCCAGCTGACCAGGGCCAAGTGAAAATCTTGGCCATAGGAACTTTCACTTTATCCACAAGCGTTTTCCATGATGTGGGGTTCTGGGATTTTTCATAAAGAAATATGTTTATTTTTGGTGGACAAAAGGGTTTCAGGGCCGTTTTGTTGGGGAGGAGGGTATACTCCATGGGGGCAGCAGGATGGTTCCACAGAGGCCAGGCACAGTCTCCCAACCTGACCTAAGAGGCTATCTGAGGCCCGAAGGCCAAAGAGCTGCAAAGGCAAGAGGAAGTGGTCAAGCTGAAGCAGCTTGGAAAATCTTCCGAAATTGCATTACCCAGGTCGTGTGATCTGGCCACAGACCCTCAGTTTCCTCAGGCCTCTGCCTGCTGGGGGAAATTCCCAAATCATATCCAGCCTCAGGCTTGGTGGCAGGCCCTTTACACCAGCCCTCATGATCAGCTTCTTCCAGGCCTGGGGCAGGTCAGAGCGGAAAGAAAAGGGCTGTCCCTTAGCCAATTAGGAGCAGCCTACTTCCAGCCAAACAGGGATCTCACCCCAACTCCCAGGAAAGGCAGGTTGGTCAGATTGGAGGGTCAGAATAAGATGGCATTGTTTCCTCTCTCCTTAGAAACTGCTGCCCCAGACAGGGTTCCTAGGCTGTTGACCCACCCTTCCTCCAAAACCAGCCTGGAAGGAGGAATCGCTCAATTGCTGAGTCAGCTCAGCTTGAGGGGAGCGACCCTGCTTCTACCCCGCCTCCTTGCCTTCCTGCTTCAGCCCAGCCCTTCCCGGGCTTCAGCCCAGGCCCCCTCCACAGCCTGTGTCCAAGAGCCCTGGCCCCACCTAGGTCAGTCTTTCTCTCCAGCTGCTATTCAGGACTGGTTGGTTATAATTGCTTTGGCAGAAGGGGTACCCCACCTTCCTGCCAGCCAGAAAACCTGACCCTATGCCTGCTGGCCTCCTGCACCTGGCCTCCTGCTCCTCTCCTGCCAACTGCTGTTTGACAGCCTGTATGTCTCAGTAGAGTTGGACACTACCCTCCCTCCACCCTCATCAGAGGGGATGGGGACCCTGAGGAACTGTCACAGAGAAGTCAGGGGCGTCTGGGGGTAGTACGCCCACGCATGTTGCAAGGAGCTCAAAGATGAGCTCACGGCCCCTTTGAGTTTTTGTGGCCCACATTTGGAGGCAATTACAGATGTTCTCCAGTGGGAGTTCTGCAAAACACAGCTGGAGCCAGTGGCGGAGCCTGAAGAGGGGGGACTGCCAGAGGGAAGAGGAGAGGGAGCTTAGGGCTCCCGCGGCTGGAGTGCGGTTTCTCCATCACGAGGAAATTGTTTGGCCCTGATTCTGGAATCACAAGATACTCTCTGAAGCCAACGGGGAAAAATGGGAATGGAGGACCAGAGACAAAGGGGGGAAGAGGTGGAAGAGGCTTCACAAGCAAAGAGAATTTCAGGGTGAGGCTGCAAGGTCCCGTGCTTCTGACGTGCCCGGGGCCTGAGGGATCCAGCCCAATGAGGCTGCCTGGCCGCCCTGGGAGATGCCTCCATGATGGGCTGGGTCAGGTTGGGTGAAGAGGGAGCAGAGGGCCTGGTGGCTGCTGAGAGACCTGTGAACACTGCTTTCACTGGCCCTACCCCACTTTGTCCATTGGGCCTGACCCAGTTTTTCTGGTTCCAAGTTCCTTTATTCGAAAGCAGCACATGTGAGTTAGAGCAGCCGGGAGGGAGCCAAGGGGAATCTGTAAAGAGGTTTGAGCAGAACCCAGGGAAGCGGGCTCTAAGGAGACTGCACTGGGTGGAAGCACTGAGGAGCAGTGGCTCTGCCCACTGCTGCACCCCACGTTTGGAGAGGGGAGCCATGCGCTCTGTTGTCATCACTCCCCTTCTCTGGGGCTCCTGCCACCAGCTGGG